AGTGGGCTTTTTATTCTGTGCATAAAACATAATCACTTTGAATCATTTACCGCTACATTATCGCGTCTTAACAAATATTTTACACGTTTTTTCAAGATATCTGTTTCTAGGTTATTTGTAACAAGGATAGAACATTCAAAAGTGTTTTTAAAAAACGTTAGTGTCCAGTAAATGATTTCCTGTGAGATTTTCGTCAGTGTTTGATAGCAACCTTAGTAATCTGACGTGTAAAATATCCTTTTTACTAGTTAATTGTTGGATATGATATAACTGATAGACCCAATATTAGTCAACAGAAGACATGGAAAAGGCATCACCCACTTAACATTTTTAGTAATGAGTATCAAAGAAAAGTTCAATGCAGTTGATAGAGGGTCATACAGACGTTAAAAAACTGGCATTATTAAGTTTTGCTTTTAACTCAGTTGGTAGTAATATTTTTCGAAAACATAACTCAGAAGGAAAATTTCTCTGTGATCTCTAGTCAAAATCTTACAATAAGTATCAAGAAAACTGATTTAAACTATAAGGTAAGTTAGACGGAAAGAAAGGTCAATGATTCAATTACATACTGTAAATGTGACTGCCATCGGTAAGATTATAATTTACAGATGAATTAGTCAGATTGAAGAGAACAACTCATGAATTTTAGAGCGAAACGCATTCATCTAGACAGTTCAATAGCATTTTGGCATTATAGCTGACACCAGTTAGTGATGGAAACCTTAACCCTGGCTCTTAACTCTGACTGCTAGTTGTAATTCCTCACAATAATTTATAATCCCACTTTAACCCTATGAAGTGGTTGGAGTTCCTTAAGGTCACTAGTTTCAGTTTTAAATAATCTATAAATGATCAAATTCCCCCAACATTTTTGTACCGGTTTGTTGAGCTAACCCTATTCTATCAGAATACCACCACCTTTGATTCTATTTCAATTTGATTTGTAGCATGAAACATCAATACACTAAAAGGTCTCTTTCACAGTAATTAGTGCTTTAATGTTGATCCGCTAAGTGATGCTTTCTTTTTAGTGAAACAGAATCTATACAATTTCAGAGGAAAAGGCATCAGAAAGACAGCTTGTAAAGTAATTCAAATGTCCCATTGTAGCGAAATAAAAAAAGGGTACAGGTTCAAATAATTCTATACAGATCATAGTTTTCATCAATGTTTATTTGTTCGTGAATGCATATAGTGAATTGACGAATCAATTTCTACATATTGTTTAAGGTCATATTTTCACGTGTACACATGGCGTTTTTTCCGCATAAAAACTCAAATAACAGCACATGACTAATTCACAAATGAGCTAGAAGGCGTGGGCGATGAAATTAAACCACAGGTACTTTTATTCGTACGGAACAACAAATATCTAGTCTAAATTAACATAGACTATGCTGAATATCACCAATCCTTTACAGTGAAAATACAATAAATGTACACTGCATGATCTTATGTCAGTTAAAATGTATACACTTGTAGAAATATATTGACCACAAACGTACCTTATTTGTGATGAGCAGCAAGAAGTGACCGTGTATCGTTTATAAAGATAAGAAATTAATCGAACAGTTTTTAGCAACTCTAATAACAATTAGTATTTTGGATTTTCGAGGAACCTATGTAATGTAATCACCAAAGCCAAATATCTATTTACAACTGATCCTATATTAAGTACATAGATTTTAATGTTCATTGAGGTTTGAGACAACGGTGTGGTTGTACTGGCATCCACAGAAATGCTGATTTTCACAACGAAAGGAAGAGATAAGAAAAGGCCAGTGCTAAAAATGTCACACCTGACTTAGCCCCGTAGTTGTTCGTCTAAAATGATAATTACTTTAAATTAAGGAGTTGACAAGTGAAAAAGGGTTCCGCGAGTGACCAGCCATAAGCAGTTGTCCTTTGAGCTCTGTGATCATGCTCAAAGGTCGCCGAGACCAACTGAGACCCAGTTTCCTTTACAGACCTCTCAAGAAAAATATCCTTTTACAGTTTGGTCAACTCGCAGGGGACGACCTCTTCCACACTCGAGATTACCTTGTTCATGATTAAATCCCTTCGTCACTCTTGAATGTTTTTTCTATCCTTAGTATCTACTTTCTCCCATGGCCTTAAAACCATGTGCCACCAACGCTAACAATTTGAGTTCATGAAGTGCTATTGTGGATCCCCTGAAACAGCTCTCTGAATTACACGTTCGACCATTCAATGCCCGAAACTTGAGTCAAATTACACAACAGACTTCCTTATCTAAGCCCTTAGAATTTAGTGCTATCGATGTATACTGTTTATCGGAGACAAGAATAAATAACTAAAGTGATGTCATTCGCTTGACGTCAATATAGAGAACTGACGCGATATATCATGGTGTAGCTTGTAGCCTACCCGCTTCTTCTTGTGGTCTCGAATGTGTAAGTGCAGCGTTAAGTCACAAAAGAGAAGACTCTTTTAACCTGGATCATGAAACAGTCGATTGTATACTCTTCGATTAAACAGGGCAGTAAGATTTCGGAAAGATATAATCGTCTCTTGGTCGTTGTTGGCTATGCTCCCATGACTGCAGTAAATGATCAGTTTTACATAAAGCCTTTTGTTCAACTTCGAAAGGTCAAACACACAGACATCGTAAAATTGTAGTAGGGAATTTTAATCACCTGGTGGGTAGTCAAAAAAGTGAAGGACACTAAAGTGGGTCTTAAGATGTTCAATTTAAGCGAACGAAAACCTTGAACGTCTTCTGCAACTGCGCTTAGACAACTGCTTGTTTTTAGCAAGCACCAAGTTTGAGCATAAGGAAAGATATTGTACGATATGAAGACCGAGTAAGTAATATTAGGGTTAGACAACAGTTACTAGGTAAGGGTCACAAGCCAATTAGTGAAGTACTGATTATTTATCGACTGATGTGAATGAGACATGTATTACGTATGCCCAACTATCGCCTACCTCGATGGACAATGATGGCTGGTATAGGAGTAAGTTATAAGGAAGATAGGAGTGTCAAACCAAATGTGTCATCAGTCCATCAAATTATTGAATGATGGAGTGAGACGTTTAAGTAGGTTCAGACTATTTGTTTGAGGTTTGAATGATCATCTTCATTAATGACTAGAAACATTGAGTGACATGACTCACAATTGGTCAGAATGATAGAGGTGCATCCACTCTTTTGTCTTCCGTTAGATCTTAAGTTTCATAAATATCTGGAAGGAATTTTTACTCCACAAATCCATATTTTCTTGTCAAATTATATCTTCTATGCTTAATCTTTTCTAATACCACTAAAACTGTTACTACTTATATAACTGTTACATGTTGTCGTGTGGTGTGACAACTTAAAATGATCCACATATACGCTAGGTTCTATGTTGCTTATGCCTGACTGAACACAGTCTTAGTTATCACGTCTTGTATGCAAATAATACTTACATTTCTAGAAAATTATATTTAAGTAATTGGTCGGATGCTTTATTTATTTAATAATTATTATTATGGGGATCAATTAAAACAGAAAATATTGATCCAATCATTATCTTAAATCGTGTTCACTAGACTTGTATTTGGCTCAGTTTTTCATCAGTCACATGTCACCTATCATATGTTGATGTTTGCAAGATAATCCTAACCTTTTTCATAATTGTACAAATTAAAGATGTTAGCTTTATTTGATGGACCTTTGAGCCTCTTTGTATGTGTATATGTTTACCTTGCATTATTTAACTGATCATAAATCTAATTTGTTCTGATTTAGATTTATACATCAATCAATTAATGAGGCACAATAAAATGGTGTTCGTAATTAAATCTGAAAACTTATAGACAATAAAACCATTGGTTCTAATTTTGTTTTTCGTGATCATGAAAAAGATTACTATATATCAAACAACGTAAATGGATTACTATTTGAAATGATGTGAGTCGTTCAGAAAAGAATAGACATTCACGAGAAAATAAAGTAAATCTGGTTTTAAATATTTACGCAACATGGCTTAAAATGTGTCATAATGGAACATATACATTTAATTATTTATCGTTCGATAAATACCGAACATTGTATTATTTTTAACATCATTCTAGATTGAGGATTCATGTTCTCATAAGTGATTTTCTTGTTGCCTATCATTTTAAAGTTTTTCATATGGATTATCGTAAAACGTGTCAAATTTCGGCTTAACTTTTCCTATTGGTGTCTTTCAAATTGTTGTTAAAGTGATGAATACAACTTTTTTTGATAAACTAGAGGTTTTGATCCTACTGTATCTATTTTATTGAAGGTAAATAACAATGGTAAGTATGAAAATAATATGAAAAATAATAAAGGTCAACCAAATAAAAGTTCATTTGAAAATAAATTACGTAATGATTTTAATGTTTTGTGATTACTATTCCTAGTCTATTTACCCATGTTTGTTTGACCTTCTATTTCCAACGATTAACTATTGATAAGAGTTTTGTTATTGTATTTTATTATTCTTACTATTATCAGTTCACCTGTCTTTCTACTATAATGGTAAGTATCACTAGTTCCTCCACTAAAACAAAAATTATGGGGTCAAAATCAATTGTACAAACTTCAACTGTTTATATTCACGTATTTACTAACAGATCAAACATTAATTACCATTGATACAAATCAACCAATGAACAATTCTAAGCCATAAAAACTCATCAAGTATAAAGCTTCTTAGTTAAAAAGAGAATGATATAACTGAAGAAAATGCATGATGAGCCATGTGACAATAATAATAATAATAATTAATAATAATAATAATAATAATAATAATAATAATAATAATAATAATAATAATAATAATAATAATAATAGTCGATTCAATTGAATAGAATATTTATTACTGCCATATCAGTTGTTGCAAAACAACCATATACATTGTAGATTTTTTCTTGGAGAACTAAAAAAACAGTCACGTGGATAAGCTAATTTAAGCTAAGAATTTAGAATGAAAAAAAAATATGTGTACTGTTATTTTGCTTACCTATTTCAACAGGTATATCAGTAATATCATTTTCACCGGCCATAATCACTTTCAATTTGGTAAGTTGTCTATAAGGATGTAAAGCAAAGCAAACAAAGGAACGATAGATAAATAGTGGGAAGATAAACGGTTATTAGAGATATATGTTGGTAATGACAATTTCAAATCTAATAGGAGATATTTTTTGAAAAAATATACATCCAGTCATCAGGGCCATTTAGTGTTCCAGAAAGAAGATGACGCTGTGTAAATGTACATTTTCAAATTCGTTTAAGTGTTAATTCTTGAAGTTTTCGAGTGTTAACTTCTCAGAATATTCTAAAATTGATTTCGCCAATAAGTCCATTCCTTAGAAGTATATTTCATATTTTATTATTAGCATATGGCTTTGTCGGTAGCTCAAATCACCTGTTGGTTTGTTTAACTGATTACTGGTGTTCTCTTTGTAAATTATCCAATTTTATAAAACTCGAATTACGTTTAATAATTATCAATTGTTATTATTATGTTAAGCGTAAATTAGCGTTAGTCAGTTGGCGGTGGTCGACAGGATATTAAAAATTTAGGCGTCGTACTAGTTGGTGTTCGTCAAAAAGTAAGTGGTAGTATAATCTAATTGCATGCTATCTTATACTAGCTATAAAGTATGACGAATAACAATGCGCAGAGAATGTGCTCTGTACCTTACATATGAAATATTTATACCCAGGTTGACTGAATCGATTGTATAACGACCAATATTAGAAGAGTGAGTAGCATCTATCTCTTCAGCGACGAATTACTCATCAGATTACAATACTATAGAATAATACTGTAATAATACTATAATACTGACGATAATGTTATGTAGAAAACTAAGGTGAACTCTGGGTTCCAGTATTAATTATTTTAAAAAAATAATAAAACTGTCCGAACTTTCAGTGTCCCAGTCTAAGAAAATAAAATTTTTCTCAAGACTGGGTACAACAGTTTATGAATTTACCATCACTTTCAAAATTTGACCATTAATATACACATGGTACGTGATTAGAAGTTAACAAATTATGATTACCTTTAAGAATGGCATAGACTTGGACCTATTAAAAGAGAAGTGAAATTCTACACCAGACTGTCTATTTTTTATTTAAAAAACAACGACAGTCATTCATGAATTAGTGTGTGTAGATTCTACAATGCTGAAGATTTGTAATGATCGATAGCACAAGGTGAATATGATCACTTAGATATGCATACACGTTTTACTATTTGGAAGCAGACTTCATGTACGTAAATTATCTGACCGTTTCTTAGCAAATTAGTAATGATAAATCGACTTGAGGAAAAATTACCCACAGTGAGATTAGGATAAATATTCTATGTGCATCATTCTAATTAATCTTATAGAATACTGTCTGTCACCAGTTGATTTTATTTTTGTATGTTCATAAATGTTTATCATATTGGCTAGTAAGAAATATTGATCAACTCGATGAAATGAGGCCATTTTTATTCTTATCTGGTTGACATTAAACATTGTATTAAAAGGGTGAAACATTTTATTGAGGATCATAAGTTTTATAATTTATGCATAATGGGCGTTGTAAGAACGAATGCAAAGAAATTCGATTTGCGTATTGAAAAAACTATATTCAACTATTTTGTTTGTTATATGAGATCGATTTACTCTTAAGTAAACTATTGAGTTTGATTTCATATTATAGCTATTTCCTTCTAACTGTTTTATATGGGCAAGTTTAGGATTTGTCTTAATCTACTTTTAGGTTGGATTATTAATAAAGGAAATAAGCTTAGTTCGATAAAACATTCCTCTCAGTTTGTATTATATTCACTGATTACAGCTTACCATTTTAGAAAGCTCGTTTTTAGGTTGGACATAATATCCTATATTGTGACGACAGATCATGGGTGAACTCGGGGAAGCTGTAGGAGGCTCAGAAGGAGCCGAAGATATTCCATCCAATCACCTTTTGGAAGAATATTCTAGAATTCCTACGTGTAGCTTCCCAATGCTAATAACCCCCTGTATGCGGATTAGAGGACTGTAATGGTGATTTCGTTCTTATTAAAAACTATAAATACCTAACAATTTTGTACTATAATTGACACTGTCTGGGAATAATATTCCTTTCATTAGTCTTCTCATTGCGGGTTGGAAGGGTTCTGGCGTTCTAGTGCTCACATTATACGCGGTATATCAAGAACAGCCTTCTATATATAACATATATACTTAAGAGATTATTATTATTAGTTTTTACATATATGACTTATCAGTCATTTTGTATACAATTAAATTACAATTAATCTCCACCTTTTGTATTACATATTCATGTATCGTTAATCGCCGTATAGCATTTATTAGTTCAATGGCAACTGTCTGTGTATTTTATATTGAATATTGGAAATTAACATTTATGGACACATGACCACATATGTATGTATCTGTATCCGATGTCTGTTGTGTTTGAGTAATGCTCAATAACTTTCTACAGTTGGTGTATAGAGGTCATTAACTAAGAAATTCATTTCAATATGTATGATCTATTATTTTGAGCATAAACGATTAAGAAAGTATGAAGTTTCGTTAAAATGAAATGAATACTACTACTATTACCTTCACTACTAAAAAGAATATATATGTTTAATAATTACAACAATTAATGTCACACGCTTACCCAATACTTGCAGGAAATGTTTTTAATCTATTACATAGAACATTTAATTCTTGTAATGATGTTAAACCTGATAAATCATTTGGTAAAGATTCCAATAAGTTTGATTCCAAATCCAGAATACGTAGTTTCGATAACTGTGTAATTTCATCAGGTAGAGACTTCAAATACGAATGTACAAATTATGTAGTAGATAAAAAGAATCCATTGAAAGAGATAGAGAGATTGAAATAACAATCAATTTGTTGTGTTATAGAACACAAGTACACTATAATATAGGCATATATAACAAAAGGTTCTTATTTGTACTAAATTATCTAATATAATTTAATTTCCAATTGATTTTCTATCACGTTCAGTTACCAAGCAAACAAACAGAGAATCAATCTGTTTATTTTAAGTAGGTGTGCTATAAATATATTCTTTCTTTTTGGTATAGTATAAATAAATAATTGAATGATTGAAATGAGATATACAGACGAATAAAAGAAAAAGAAACAGCAAACAGTTCATTCCTTTTAATTGTCTTGTATTTAAAAAGAAAAGAGACCAGTGAAATAAATACAGTTTAAGAGAATGGACACACACACACACACATAAATACATATACACATACCACTAATCAATCGAAAAAGGTGAACAAAGACTATACAGTTTGTATAATTTAATCACTATTTATACAATTAAAGTTAATCTTATGATAAATTGATGACACAAATTTTTATCAAGTGCTTTCTCTTTTTTTTTTCCAAAGTATTACATACATTAAGCAATAAGTTAGGTTAACAGTGAATCCATTCATAGTTTGATGTATAGGTCAAATTACTATGAGATATATTTTATATATTACAGATATGATTTAGACAAAATATGAGAAAAAAGAAAACCTTTAAATATCACAGGTTAAAAGACACACATAGATTAATTTATTATAACGCTAACCAGATTAAAAAGTATTTGTGAAGTGTTCATTTCCACTGTTGTGACTTTTGCCCGGCTAATTATCACGTGATATGATCACCAATCAGAATACGACATTTACACTGCCCCACTACAATGACGTACTGACCAGCATGAACAACCTAGTGTCCTTATTAGTCTTTTTTTTCTGTCCAGCCCTGTCTGTTGAGTCCAGCACGTCAATATGAGCTTCTATTGTACGAATCATTTATTTCATGCATACTGGGTTTATATAGAAACAAACCAGACCACATCATACCATAAAATAGAAAATAACAATTATGCAAGATCAAGTCAAAAAGTGGCTGAGTGTGCGAGGCTGTAACTAATAAATTAGTAATAACTTAAGAATAGTAAACCGTATAACAACAGTCTATGGGTCAAATGGAAGCTTATAATAATAAGAATGTAAATATACATAACCTAGTTACTCAATAGTTATACAATAAGAATATATGTATAATATTAGTCCATTAATAGTTTTCAGAAGTTACCCATAACTTAATCTTCGCTAGGATATGACAGAAACTATTAAACAAAGGCAAAATCAATCAGTAAGATGAACAATTAATGAATAATTTCATCTATGAAGAACAAAACGAACAAACACTATATACTCTTAAGTATAGATTGTATTAGTATCATGAAACTATGTTCTATTTGCTCTTGTTGTAAAAATACACAATAAAACCATATCATTAAAAAAAATTACCACGTGTCTATTATACACAGGCGACTAGTATCTCAATGAATTTTTCGAAGTTCTGGTAACAGGTCATAACCTGTAAATTCAACTAAGGGATGAATAAATCACTAACTAAACAATGACAATAGATGAAGATTCCTCGAAAATATATACAAATCTCAGTCTAATAGTAGGATTTACTATAATAAATATTGTTTAATTTACCTAATAGCAGCTCACGTGCAATTGAGTTTGTTCACATTTAATTTGGTTAAGCCCTTTTGCTAACTTATTTAACGGACAGAGTCATCCATACAATAACTTATCTATACCACTGTATCTTATTATTCATGTGCTTCTATGAATTGTATGCTCGAGCATTGCTTACCACCTACGCACAGACTCATTCTGCTAGCTTTAATAATAGTCACTAAATGGATTCAATGATTCATCCATTTCCATATATATACATTATGTCAAATGAATTTTTAAGAGAATTAATCTGAGTCAAATATAATTATAGCAAACTAAATTTGAATTCTAGATAGAACCTTATTAGAATATAATGTGGCTAACTTAAATGACGCATAATTCAATATGAACAAGTTATTACACAATCTGTCGAAAGAATGCAGCTGTTTTGCATTTTACGGACATTTATAATCACAGAAATTCTGTACATAATTCAACTTTCAAAGTTTGCCCTTGACATTACAGAGATTCTGTTTTCCGACTGGGGTCTAAGAATTAAGCATTTCAACTGACTAGGAAGTAAGTGTGTAAAGCGCTGAGAGCAAAAGGCGTTTCACGATATATAAAATCAGACAAGATTACCTAGACAAAAGTGACAACGAAACAGCTTAATGGATTTGATCATAAAAAGCATTAAGTATAATCTACTAAAATTGTTTTTTTATTAATGACGCCGTAAATCTACGAAATTTCCGAGAAACGCAATATAAATTTAGTCTCAATGCCTTAGTAGAATGATACCAATAAGAAAATATTTACATATGTCGTTGAAACGAAATATTAATATGCACTTGTATTGTGTTGTTCAGTTAACTAACAAATGCATTATGATTTTAAATTTAGAAGTTATTGAATTCTAACAAAGTGATTGTATAGTGTAGTACATGAGACTGGAAAGACCTATGTTCCAATTCGTGAAAAATCGTAAATGCATGTTATCGAAAGGTTTCTAAATATGTTTAAAAAGCGCTAATTCAGTTTACACGCTTTTTGAACTAATCTCAATATTTGATAAAACTTATCTTCAGACTAGATATGCCATAGATGTAATCAGTAAAAATGTAATAAATGATGAAAAACGATAGGAATCATTCAAACAAACCATTATTTTAGGGTTAACTTTGAGGATAGTCTAGTAAAGAAAGCTGAAAAACGCATCAAGACAGATAACTAGAATTGATTAACTATTTTAATATTTCTTATAAACTTTACATAATAACGTTGATTTTTACCAAACCAAATCTCCAACTATGATCAAAACATCCCAGTCGATGTGATCTAAAGTAATTAATACATATTCAGCATTATTAATTTAAACACATGTACATGGTACAGGGAGGCACCAAATATATATGCATCACATTTCACCGTTCGATTCCTAAAAGAGCTATGATAATGCTCGAGCGCCCAAACCGAAACAGATGGTTTACATAGACACGCCACTCAACAACCCTTTGACACAAACGTCCAATCATCAACACATGGTTGGAACAACGTTAGGAGATGCAGTCATATGGTAGTCGATCACCAACAATAGGTTCATACAACATTTATTCCGTCAGCATCCTCCAACCCATGTATACCATTGGTTTAGAATCAGGGTTTTCCAATTCTCCTAGGTAGACCCTCCGTGTTCATTAACCCGGTCAGAGCACCGAGCATTCGCTTTGTGTCCTCTCAACTTCGTACACAACACGTGTGCAGCGAGAAGACAGTGAGTAGAATTTCTCTGACAGTGGTTGTGTACGCGTATCTATGTGAGGGTATTTGAAGAGGGATGGTGATCTCTCCCCACCTTCGACCGTATCAGGACATAACTCTTGATTTCACTAAGTATTGATTCGACATCAAGAAAAAATCAATGTTTTCGATAAACAACCGATTTAAAATATCCTTGTCAAATTATCAGATATAAGTTTTACTTCAAAGAGATAACAAGACAGAAACCACTAAGCCATATATATATAATCTCATAAATACAACTGTATATAAAGCAGTTTTCATTTTTCAGAATGTGAAAGAAATGGTACCAACAAACAGATTCCTCATTATTTAAGTCACATTTATATATATATATATATATATATATATATATATATATAGTTAAGAGTAAAAAAAATCATTGAAACAATCTAAAGCAAAATGAAGTGGTAGCTATGATAATTTTATAGACAATAATCATATGGAGTAGTCATATGACATTTTTGTTCAAATCAACTTATACAATAGCTAAAATTAAAATCTGAAAATGTTTTCAGAAAATAGAAATCTATACCAAAACTCATATATGAAATTATTTTACTATTAGTAAATCCTACATAAAACACTTTTTTCTTTATAAAATGGTTATTCTATTACAGAAGTCAATATAAAAATAAACGCTACACTATCAATGTAATATATACATATATATTCGGGTGACAAACTTCTCTTATTGTTCACATATTTTCTCTGCATACTTTCATCGTTGACAAGTCAAATTAAAAATTGTTTTTTTATCACAATCGTTCACAGCACAGAGCATTTGGTAAGAATTTACACTTAAAAAAGAAATTAATTTGTTGAGTAATTCTTTTAAATTTAGTTTAACGAATAGTTCTATTAAGAGAATTATTCCTACTAGAAATCTCAAAATAGATAACATTATGAATTCAATACACATGTAGATATGTGAATAGAAAAATATTATTACTTAAAGTAATAATTTGAGTAAAGATTTTTAAATTACAATATGTGTTCGGGCACGGAGACGATAATACCATCGGTGTAACCATCCTGAAACATCGACTTCGGTGGCTTGGACATGTTTTACGATCATGCTGTAACCTTCTTTTACTTCATAAAAAGTGGTTGCTTCTTCCTTAACTGAAAGATTTCTTCTGATTGTATCTTTCCGTTCCCTCATTATTACTACTACACCACCTTACACCAATCTCTTCGTTATTGTTCTCCATTTTTTTACGCTTGTTACCTTTTTTTCTCTTCTCTTTAAATTCTCATTGTTTTGTGTGGCACATATATATTTGGCTCACTCTTGTACGAATATTTATGTGTTCAAATAAATAAATAATAATAATTCAAATATTAAGAAATGGTTCGTTTAAAGAATAATACAATTTAATCTAACATCTAAAAATGTGTAAGTATACAATTTAGAAAAAGAAAAGTGCTTAATATAAAGAAAGGTGACTGATTTATTGATGCAAGAAATAAGTACATAATATAGAATCTATGATAACTATAGGTTGTTAGTTGATGAATCTGTTTAAGACAAGTTCGCATTCTGATTTGCCTTCTTTAGCTTGGATAGATGATGAATAGAATTATTACAAAACACAGAAAGTGGAAATCGAAATTAGTTACTTCAGCTTAGAAATTATAAGATCAAGAAATAGCAACACTCCATCTCACATCATAATAACGAATATTTAAATAAACAAAATTTTCCTTTTATGAAGAATAGGTTAAAGCAACAGGATTAACTAACGAAAAACTAATGATAAATATATTTTTGGTTATATCCCGAAAATATATTTATTATTAGCTTTCAACCATAGCGTTGATACTTACAAATATGTCAATAACGAAAAGATAATAATAAGTGTAATAATTATTGGACAATAAAAAAATACGTTTCTTTTAGAATAATGATATATATATATGCCTAATTGTGCGGTTTTGAAAGTGAACTCATTATAAAGAATAAGTTATCTTATGACTTGAATTAATTATGAAACTGATGAAACGAATGAACATGAAACATTATTAAAACCATTAACCAACCTAAACATTACAATAGAAAAGTAGTTGGACGATTCACTTTTATTTGTCTCACAACAGGATAAACTATTCGATAAAATAATTCTGCTGCTACATGAACTAAACAGAACTTTACAGCACAATTTGTATTTGATATCTTATGTTCTAATCTGTTACGTTGATGAAGCCCCAAAAAGTTCTGGTAAGGTCGAAGGTGGGGAGAGATCACCATCCCTCTCCAAATACCCTCACATAGATACGCGTACACAACCACTGTCAGAGAAATTCTACTCACTGTCTTCTCGCTGCACACGTGTTGTGTACGAAGTTGAGAGGACACAAAGCGAATGCTCGGTGCTCTGACCGGGTTAATGAACACGGAGGGTCTACCTAGGAGAATTGGAAAACCCTGATTCTAAACCAATGGTATACATGGGTTGGAGGATCCTGACGGAATAAATGGTGTATGAACCTATTGTTGATCATCGACTACCACATGACTGCATCTCCTAACGTTGTTCCAACCATGTGTTGATGATTGGACGTTTGTGTCAAAGGGTTGTTGAGTGGCGTGTCTATGTAAACCATCTGTTTCGGTTTGGGCGCTCGAGCATTATCATAGCTCTTTTAGGAATCGAACGGTGAAATGGAACGCAGATATATATATATATATATATATATATATATATATATATATATATAATACTAAACAATGATAACCTATAGCAAAGCTAGCAAAATCAGAAACTACAGTGTAAAACTTAACATCGTTTTATTCAACTTAGTGAAAATGCTGAACTATTGTGTCAATAATACCCATCAAACAAAAGGATATAGAATTAGAAAGAAGAAATAGTGATGAACAAATTCATTAGCATACGTTATTATCAGAACAAATAATATTAAAATTTATATATTTTCATATGTAAACCGGAAAACAGAAATAGAAAAAAAGGTAAATATAATTAAAACAACTCACAGATAACTGATTATAGTTTAATCGTAGTACTTCAAGAGCAACAAGTTTATTGATTTCCGTAGGTAATTCTGTCAAATGATTAGAGCCCAAATCCAGTTCAACTAAGGTTTTTAATTCATGCAAGTCTAAGTAAATAAATTTAATGAAGAGAATATTCAAATAACAAATGAACAAGTAGCTTAGAGGATCAATTATTATTTACTATTAGTTAATTATCAGAAGAGGACTCAGTAGCTAAGTGGATAACGCGATGGCGTTTGAAGCGAACGGTACTGAGTTCGAGTCCCAGAGTGAACATCAACTGTGAGGTACGGGTACATCCAGCTGACGAGTCCCAAACGAGACGAAACGCGCGTCCTGGATTCCACTGCTAGCCACTATCCATCTTGCCCCCCTGAATGCCCTGGTACGGCCGAGAGTGGGGAGAGTCCGCTCTCCCTCTCGAAATACTCTCACACGGCCACGCGTATACAGCCTCTGCCAGGGAAGTCCTACTCATTGCCTTCTCGTGGCGGGGGTGTTGTCTACGAAAATGAGAGGACGAAAAGCGAATGTCCGGCGCTTTAACCGGATTCCAAATCAATGGTGCACATGGGCTCCAGTATCCTGCGGGAACGAATGGCGTATGAACCAATCGTTGGTCACCGGCTTCCATGGGACTGCATCTCCTTACGATGCTCTACTGCCTTGTGGGTTAGACCTTTAGGTCAAAGGCTCGGGGAGTGGCCCCCTAAGATAACCACCTGCTTCGGTTTGGGCACCCGGGCAGTATCACAACCTACACACAAACGATGAACTCTATGTCTATGGCAACTACTTTTCTCGCTCCGAAAAACAATCAGTCGATTCGAATAATTATCATTACTATTATTGTCATTATTAATACTATTATTATTACTGTTATTGTCATTATTATTATTATTATCATTATTATTATTATTTTCCACATTATTCACCCTCTTTTATACTTATACAGCGGCTCGTCTTTGGTGGAAATTCGAATGTATCTAAACGTTCTCGAGTCACTGTCCGGTTGAAAATTGTATGTTACCACCGAATACGAGGACTGAAGCAGATTTTCCGAAACCACGTGCACCATTCAAACTGGATGCCTTCAACGTTCGCACTCTTATGCAGGTTGGACAACAGATAGGGCTGACTATGTCTTTGGAAAGTCTTAATATCGACGTGTGTTGTCTATCCGAGACCCGTATTCAAGACTCTGGCGAAGTACTACAAATTCGATCTCCATTTGTCGCTTCGAAAAGCTTGTTTTACGTGCGCTTATCCGGGGACCCTGTGGCATCTTCGTCTGGTCTTGCTGGCGTTGGTGTCGCACTAAGCGCTAGAGCTGAGGCAGCACTAGTCGATTGGATCCCCATTAACAGTCGGTTATGTGCTGTTAGATTAGAGAGTTCCATCAAAGTGAGAAGAAATCGGCGTGAGAAACGATGTCTTTTCGTCATCTCCGCCTATGCCCCGACAGATTGCAGCCCGGATGCAATCAAGGCTGAGTTTTACCACCAGTTATCAGTTCTTCTCCAGAAAGTGCGTTCGACAGATATTGTAGTACTAGCCGGAGACTTGAATGCTCAGGTCGGGCGTCTAGGCACAGAAGAGAGTCGTTTAGGTGGCCGAAGGCGACTTGTTGGTCGCAGGTCAGATAACGGGGACCGTCTACTACAACTTTGCACAGACCACAACCTGTTTCTGGCTAGCACTAACTTTCGGCCCAGTCATCGCCGATGTGCCACCTGGCGTCCTCCCTCTGCATCTCAAGCCTGGACTCAGCTTGATCACATCGCGATCAGCTACTGCTGGCGTGGTTGTGTACAAGACTGCCGCTCCTTTAGGAGTACCTATCTGGACTCTGACCATGCCTTGGTCTGCGCCAATCTTGCCTTACTTTTCAGTGGACAACGAAGTGACGCCATCAACGGATTGATGTTAGCAAGCTGGTTGCAACTTCTGTTGCAAGTAAGTATCGAACCGAGCTAGCCTCTAGGCTAGCTACCACTCCACCGAAAAGTATAGATGAGCATTGGTTGCAATTGCGTGACGCCATGAAAATGGCGGGAACAGTCAGTTGTGGGTTTGCGAAACGTCCCGCTTTTAAGCACTGGGTTTCTTCTGGTTCCTTACAACTCATTGAAGCCCGTCGGTCTACTCCGGGTGACCGTGAGTTTGACCATAAACGAAGGATGTTACGTAAGGAAATTGGGCAAAGCTTGCGTAAGGACCGAGAAGCCTGGTGGTCGATGCGTGCTAATGAGCTGGAAGCAGCAGCTGCATCTGGTAACTACCGGAAGCTCTTCCAGCTCATCCGAGCCACTGGCAGCAAGAAGTCTGGTGTGAGTGAAACAATCTGCGAGGATGATGGGATGCCAATCACTAACATCCATCGACGTCTTGAACGATGGGCAGAATTTTTCGAAGGGCAGTTCAACTGGCCTGCTGCTCCGGCAACACCGGTCAGACTGTCCTGCCCTCCATGGCCGGTGACGACTGATCCACCAAATGAGGAGGAAGTCCGCAAGGAACTCCAACTCTTGAAGCGTTACAAATCACCTGACCCAGATGACTTACCTCTGGCTCTTTTTAAAGATGGTGGTGACTTTTTGACTAAGGAATTGACGACGTTGTTTACAAAGGTTTGGGATCTAGAGAGTGTACCAACGTCATGGAATGAGTCGATAGTTGTCCCTATCTTTAAAAAGGGTTCACGTCGTTCTTGTAACAACTATCGGGGGATAAGTTTACTTCCGATTGCGTTCAAGCTATTGGCTTCCGTCATTCTTCGTAGGTTGTTCAAAACCCGAGAAAGATTGACTCGCGAGGAGCAGGCTGGGTTTCGTTCTGGTCGGGGATGTATTGATCATATCTTCACCCTCCGCCAAATGTTAGAACACCGCCATACTTTTCAAAGGCCAACAATCGTAGTGTTTCTTGACATCAGGGCTGCCTTCGATTCGTTGGATAGGACTGTTCTCTGGGATTGTCTATTGAAGAAGGATGTGCCTGAGAAGTTTATTAACATCCTAAAAGCCCTGTATAAAAACACCTCAGGCAGAGTGAGGGCATACAACCACCTCTCTCCATTGTTCCATTCGAGCAGTGGGGTTAGGCAGGGTTGCCCAATCTCACCATTCCTCTTCAACTTTGCCATCGATGACATTCTGGAAACAGCTCTGACGAATGTAAGTAATGGTGGTGTGGATCTGTTGCCTGGAGAAAGACTTCTCGACCTTGAGTATGTGGATGATATTGTCTTACTGTGCGATAATGCCCAAGGCATGCAATCCGCACTTAATCACTTGGCAATCAGTGTCCGTAGGCATGGTATGTGCTTTGCACCTTCGAAGTGCAAAGTACTTCTACAAGACTGGCAGGATTCTAATCCTGTACTCACGCTGGACGGTGAGCAGATAGACGTAGTTGAGAAGTTCGTGTATCTGGGTAGCTGCAAAAAGTGCTGGTGGTGGCTTGAGTGATGAGATCAATGCACGAATAGTGAAAGCCAGAGCGGCTTATGCCAATCTGGGTCACCTTTGGCGCCTTCGTGATGTTAGTCTGGATGTAAAAGGCCGGATCTACAACGCGTCGGTAAGAGCAGTTTTGCTCTATGCTTGTGAAACCTGGCCTCTCCGAGTTGAGGACGTTAGACGACTCTCTGTGTTCGATCATCGCTGTCTCCGAAGGATTGCTGACATTCAGTGGCAACACCATGTCAGTAATGCAGAGGTTCGGCATCGTGTGTTCGGGCACAGAGATGATAACTCAATTGGTGTCACCATCTTGAAACACCGACTTCGGTGGCTTGGACATGTTCTCCGAATGTCGTCCCAGAGAATCCCACGTCGTGCATTATTTGCCGACTCTGGGACTGGTTGGAAGAAGCGGAGAGGTGGTCAGTGCATGACATGGTGTCGTGGCATGAAAGAAAGCTGCAAAGGACTGGCTTCTGTTGGTCCTTCACGACTCCCTGGTTGGGGTCTGAGAGATGGTGCTACACAGTGGCTAGAGACGTTATCAGATATGGCTCAGAATAGAAGCCAGTGGCGATCCTGCTGTAACCTTCTTTTACTTTCTTCATAAAAAGTGGTTGTGTCTCCTTTACCTGAAAGATTTCTTCTGATTGTACCTTTTCGTTCCGTCGTTACTACCACACTACGTTACTCCAATCTCTTCGTCATTGTTCTCTTTTTCTTTTGCGTTCCTTAGTTTTTTTTTCTCTTTCTAGTTCTCTTCGAATTCCCATTGTTTTGTGTGGCGCATATATATTGGCGCTCTCTTGTACCAATATTTATGTGTTCGAATAAATAAATAAATAAATAATTATCAGAAGGGGTTTGTGGAGATTTTAGACATTTTCACAGATTGAAATCATGAGTCAGTTGAAGTTAGACCACCATGGGAAACCTGGAAGCACTGGACGGCCGTTTCGTCCTAGTATGGGACTCCTCAGCAGTGCGCATATACTGAGAAACTTATGCAAAATTCAATACTTTAGTAAATCACTAATGTTAACTTAAAACTAAACGATAGTGCAAATGCAATAGTGGTCTTATTACTAATTTATAGAAAAATAAACAGTTACTACAAAACCACTATTTATTATTATTATTTTATCTAGACACTTTAAAATGAAACTGGGACGGTATTTAACTAACCTGGACCAATTAAACTGTCTAATGCATTATCACGTAAATTTAATTTAATCAAATTTGAAGCCAAACTAAATACAGATTTTGGAATGTTTGTAATTTCATTATGATCCATATTGATAGTCTAAACAAAAAGGAAAAAGGTGAAACAATTTGATAAATCGTCTGGTATATTATATGTATGTATATAAATTTTATTTAGTTTAGAATGTTTCAGAAATTGTACATATAAAGGGAAAAAATTGATATTATTACTTAAACACTAGATTTTAGATAAGATCAGAACCTTGTGTTTCAAACAACTACTATGAAGTATTAAACGAGCTAGTCAGACCCAGATCTATGATTGAAATAAATTCTTTTGAAATTTTGTCAAACAGTAAAGAAATTATTTTAGAAAATACGACTATGGTACAGTTAACCATGAAAGACTATACACTTTACAATATCTTAATCAATTTTTTATTGTTGTTGGGAGAAACAATTTCACAATCCATATCACTTTTTAACTACACAATCATAATCAATGTCATTTGTAATTTGCTAAAGATATTGACATTTTTTATTGTTAATATGATGATATGTAGTAGAAAGTAGAATTCATTAGTTAAAATTTCATTCAACTAGAAATATGGATGTGTTTAATACCAGTTTACTAAATCCAACTGTGATTCATAATTAGAAATCATTTAAATAACGTAAACTTACAAAACTATAGTAAAACAATCAATTTCTAATTTATTTTTTCTTTAAAAAAAACTGTACAGAACGTTTTATTCCTTCGAATATAATTCAGTTATTATTTTTTCGAATGTCAGAAGACTAAGTAGCTTTGAAGAATTTAGGAAGGCCGATACATTCATGAAAATCCTGTTACAAACTCCATCATGGAACATAGATATTATTCAGACTTTTTAGAGAGTGATGATAATAAACAAGCTATTCAATATATTGTAAAAGATGAACTGTACACATTTAACACATTTAATAAGTTTATCGCTGAAGGAGATGGAGTGAATAAAAATGTGAGATGGATGTCTTCACAAAAAGTAATAATCAATAATTTCCATTGTGATGATGAACTAATTTCTCAGTTAATAGTTCTACAACACAAGAGAGGTTTTTTGAATCAAATTACATTGCCTTTTTACAGTTGGGAATTTATAAATATTTTATGGTACCAACCACTATTTTATTTGTAAGACAGACGCTGGTTGTTAGAAGACAATATAATGTAGTTCAAAAGATTGCTCGTAGACTGTAAAAATCGTTGACTGAGTAGCTGATTGTTGCGCTGAGCAGAGTTACTGACAAAGATAGCAAATTACTTGTTGCGGTTACGATATCTCAAAACTGAAGAGTTATATTGATTGTTATTACCTAGTATTAATGTTCTAAATTGGCAGTGATTTAGGGTTTGATCCATTTATTGTAGAACAACCGAGTGAGTGATGTTGAGGTTAAACATAGAGTAAGAGGTAATGGTTTGCAGATTGAAGAGTGACTAGGACATGCATAACTTATACTCAGACACCATCTGCCATGACGTGTGATCTTATGTGATATAGGCGTAAGTCGTAGAAAATCTAGGGGCGGCCAAATCAAGAACTGGTATTGATTCTTAGTCACTGGCTGTTGGTCTGAGCCGTTTTACCAGACTATCTGGTTGGAGTCCAAACGACAATTTGACTAACTGTTGCATATTCAAGATCATTAACAGTAGCACGGATCTTTTCTTAGTTTATCCCTCGATCCCGAATTTCAATATCTCATATTTTCAGTTTGTAAATTCATCCATTCTTCTTGAACTCGATTTTCTGTTTTCAACCTTTTATTGGGGACGTTAAACCCCGAAATACAACATTCGGAAGAATACAATTTTGAAATTCACAGACTGTTTTAAAGTGATATTTGTTCGGCAACTTTCAGTAATGATTCATCTTGACTGGTTTTTGTTTGAGTGACAATGAATTTTCAGCAAAGATAGATGGCGGCTAGCAGTGAAATTCAGGACGTGCGTTTCGTCCTAACTGTGACTCGTCAGCTGGATGTACCTGCATCCCAGAGATAATGTCCATTCCGGGACTTGAACCCATTACCAGTTGCTTCAAAAGCCATCGCGTTACCCACTTTCCTACTGAGTCCTTAAAGTCATTAGCTTATGCAATAGGGTGAAACGTAAATTCATTTTGTATTGTTTGTTTGAAACTTCCTATTGATGTTTAGTATTGCAACTGATTAGTCTCTTATTGGTATATATGCATACTATGCGGATTGCCTCGATATTGCCTTGAGTCACAAGCATTGGGAACAAAGATGGGTGGTGGAGTGGACATCAACTGTGGAATACAGGTAAATCCAGCTGACGAGTCCTAAATAGAACGAAATGATTCCACTGCTAGCCACCATCCACCTTTGCTTCTCATGCTTGTGACTGCAGGCAATTAGCACAGGATGCATGTATGCCAATAAGAGACTGATCAACTGCAGTCCTAAACGTCAATGGGAAGATTTTTAGAAAATATACAAAATGAATGAATTTTCAGTTCTATTAATTTATTCAATACAAAATTAGTTATTCGACGTTTTCATTGCATTGAAAAACTCATTTTGATTTTTTGCTCAAGTGACAACTGCTCAGTCTGACAGATTTAGTAATTAATAATCACTGAAGAATCGATATATAATTGAATAAACTTGAGTGTAAATCGATTATTTCAAGGTCTTCATCAATACATATTCCTTAAAAGTTTTCTCTTCCTTCTATTCCATAGTGCGAAGGAATAACAGTGTATTAATCATGCGGTTCATCCAGTTAGCATGTAAGAATTACCCGAACGCACGTCAGATGAAATTACCAAACTCAAACTCACATTACATCTTTTAGCTACCACTGATTTTACTGCTACTTTCATCATTGTATTCGTGTTTATAATTTCATCTCTCTGTAGCATTGATGTAATAAATCGGACTGATGCATATTTGTACCAGTTTTCACGTTGCTTATCACCACCAACTAAATGACAACCTGAAAGCTCTTTAATAATACTTTTTTACAGAGTAATTATCAATTGTTTTAACACATGAGAAATATCAGTGTTAGTTGGATTCTTATATATATAGGTTTGATTCTTCTTTCCTTCAATTTCCTTACCAAACTGACTGGCTATTAGGTTGTGTTAAATCTAATGATTAGACTTTGTAGTTTTCGCTACATATTTGTGATAAAAGTAGGACATGGTGGGCACATAAAACATTCCAAATGTGCATGCAAATTCTTTTGATTAACGGGATTTTATATTACTCTCCATAATTATTTCTATTTGAGCCATAGCTACCAGCTTTTAACATATTACAAATAAGATAATTCTTCCGAGTACTGATACAATGTTTTTCATTCATTTATTTTGCTGATAAGACATTTTGAAATACAGCTACAGTATACTTCAGTTAGATGTCAATAGTACGATTCAGAATAACAGATGGTTCCAAGGGCACACATATATAAAATTTGATTGTTATTGCGATCATAGAGGGCTTAAAGTAATACTGCTCTTATTCTGCATGACTGACTGATTGTGATAATTAGGAAAACAAATTCTAAATAAATACATATCCTCGGTAGTTTGTATTTATCAGACTTTAAAATTACAATCCATATACCAGTTTTCTAAGTTCTACTAATTACAAAGGCTAAATTATTCTGAATAGATATTTTAAATTCTACTTCTAAAGCGTAGTAAGAAACTACTGTAAATAATTATTTCCTCAAAAACTTGATTATACAACGATTAATTATTACTAAGCCCAATTGCTAAAAAAGGTTTTAAACAAAATCAGTACACTTAATTTATCAATAAAAATTATTCTATCATTGTTAAACAATATAAAAATTATGCATTCAATAACTCATTTTAAAGAGTGCAATGGATGGAGCTTACTGATAACTGTAATAAATTAAACGAAAATCTTTAAACCGTTAGTCCTAAAATAAATGCATAAACACTGTGGCATATTTCCAAATAGTTTCACGGCTAGTTGTATGATTTACAAATTATGAATTTTAACGGGTTAATTATAAATATAAACATTAATAATAGGATACGAAATGTGAAAAATATTCACCTTAGTGTAATTCCTTAACTGAGTTCCAAAGAGGATGTAAACACAATACAATGTGTACGAATACTTTTCTAACATATAAACTGCAGTAATCTTATTGATAGTTCTGAGATCAATAAAATATTTTTAGAAAGTTTAATAATAAATAAGACCATTTGAAGATGTAAAAACTTGTGTGCAACAGATAGAATCACGGAATATATTTCAGGACTCAAAACATACAGTTGACCTAATCACGTTTTCAACACTGAGTTCATTGGTGAAAACCATCGTCTAAATGATAAATAGTCGAATATCTTGTTGATTCTACATACCTGGATACTAAAGTTCTCCTAATTAGCTAGTTTTGGTAGTACACTACTACTACCATCATAAAAAAGAAACAGATATTTATAAACTGTTGTCCCCATAATATACTTCAGATTCGTTCGCCGGACACTATCAGCAACAACTTATTGTGGCAGAGAACAAACCAGCATCCATCTGAAGAGGAAATAAGGAAAAAACGTTGGAAGTGGATAGAGCACACATTACGAAATTCATCAAACTGTATCAACAGGCAAGCCCTAACTTGGAATCCTCGGAGTAAAAGGAAAAAAGGCAGACGAAGAAACACATTGCACCAGTAATTGGAGGGAGACATCAAAAGAATGAATAGAGCTTACGGACAACTAGAAAGCCCAGAACAGAGTTGGTTGGATAATCATAGTCAATGACCTATGTTCCATTAGGTGTAACAGTCGTAAGTAAATAGGTAAGTAAGAACACACATTATTTGGACTATTACTAATACCAGTAGTGATAACAAAAGATAACTTACATAACACATCTGAAATTGTTGTGGATCACCAGAGGGAAAGTTTGCAAAATAATTTCTTGACAGGGTGATATTTAGTAGATTATGTAAACATGATAGTAAATTATTCTGTTGGAGAGATAAATAAAACAATATCGTATAAATTCGTAAATAAGACTAATTTTAACAGCAAACAGTTATCATTATAATCATCTTAAAATACATATACGGCGATAATATGAAAAGCTTTCAATAGAACATGCACAAACTACAAATCAGAAACAGAAAAAATTATTTATGGGATGATTTGCGAAAACCATACACATCAATGCGATGTATATTACACTCTTAAATATAAACAATAAAATGAATGTCATTGACTTACAGGAAGTGAAGACAATTGGTTGTTTTCCACATTAAATTCGTCAAGTTTCACACAGTTAGCTAGACTTGCCGGAATTTCCACCAACTGATTATATCTTTAAAAGAAAAGAAAAAACCTATCTGTTAAATCTATATATTACTTTCCTTACACATGTTATCCCTCCTCGAGGAGCATAGGCCATAGGCATAGACCAACATTCTCCATCCAACTCTGTCCTGTACAATCCTTTCCAGTTCTTCCACTTGCTATTCATCCTTTTCATGTCTGCTTCCAATTCTCGACGCAGTGTGTTATTTGGCTTTCCTCTTTTCCGTTTCCCTTCATGATTCCAAGTTAGCGCTTGCCTCCAGATGTAGTCTGATGATTTCCTCAATGTGTGTACTATCCAATTCCAAAGTCTTTCCCTAATTTCCTCTTCAACTGGAAGCTGGTTTGTTCTCTCCGTCAAAAGGCTTTTGCTGATGGTATCAGATCAACAAGCATTCAGTATCTTGCGTAGACAGTTGTTTATAAATAATTGTACCCTCTTTATGACGATTGTGGTAGTTCTCCACGTTTCAGCTGCTTACATTAGAACTGTATTGATATTCGCATTGAAGATTCTGACTTTGGTATTGATTGAAAGTTGTTTTGAGTGGCATATGTTCTTCAACTGTGGGAATGCTGTCCTTGCTTTGCTAACCCTCACATTTACGCCTGCATCGTATTCTTAACGTTCATCGATGATGCCACCCAGATATGTGAAACTTCCCACATCTTACAGAGTTTCTCCAACAAATGCGACTAGGTTGGTGTTCTCCATGTTGTGTTTCAGGATCTTACATTTAGCCTCGTGTAGGCAGCCTTGTCTGTCTCCGGTCCTTACTTGGAATGCGTCTGTCAGCTGCCCTCCATGCACCACTTCGCAGGGTAGTCCGTCGTATGAATTCCAAATGATGTTGATGATTTTCTCAATTACTCTATTGTGTCGAAGAAGTTTACATAATATTCTCCTATCCACACTGTCAAATACTTTCTCATAATGAAGGAAGTTGATGTACCACGACATGTTCCATTCAATTGATTGTTCAACTATGACCGGTAGTGTTATGATTCGGTTTGTGCACGACCCATCTTTACGGAATCCAGCTTGTTGATCTCGAAAGTCGGGTGTCTACTGAAACTTTCATTTGGGTCGGCAACACTCTGTTGAAAACCTTTCCTCGTACTGACATTAGTGTGACACCTCTATAGTTCTCACATTTGCTCAGATCTCTTTTCTTTTGTATCTTGATGAGTTACCCTTCTTTCAGTCCGCTCAAATCATCCTAAATAGAATGTGGAGTATCTTTGCAGTTACTTCAATATCTGACTTTACTGCTTCGACCGGTATATTATCAGGTCCTGCTGCTTTCCCACTCTTGATTTGTCCGATTGTCATAATTTCTTCATCACTTGATGGTGGAGTAACATCTATAGGAATATCTGTAGGTTCTGCTTCGATATCCAGTGGATTCAATGGAGCTGATCTATTTGAGAGTTCTTTGATGCATTCCACCTATCTGTTCCTCTGTTCTTGAGTTCCAGTGACTGGCTCGCCCTCTTTGTTCTTGACCGGTCTCTCTGGTTTACTATGTCTTCCTGTCAGTTTCTTCGTCGTGTCATATAGTTGTTTCATATTCCCTTCTCTTGCATCATTTTCCGCTGTTGTTGCCAGCTTTTCCACGTATTTCTGCTCGTCGGCTCTTATGTTCTCCTTCACTTGCCTGTTTGATTCTACGTATTCAGCTTGTTTCTTAACTTTCTCTGTTCTTGTTCGGCTGTTGTTAATTGCTGTGCTCCATTTTTGCTTAATTTCAACATAGACCTGAAATAAACATTCTTATCGTCTGAATTTTCGGGAACTGATCTCATACCAGCTGGTCCATTTATTGACTTAGAATACGCAGATAAAATGCAGGCTTTTGGTAGCGCTAAGCAAGAATGTCAGGATGTTTGGGATGTGTTTCTCCCCCTCTAAATGCAAATTGTTGCTTCAGGACTGGTTTGTGTCAATACCTGAACTAAGGATAGAGAGTGAAGTAGTCGAACATATTGACAGCTTCGATTATCTTGAAAGCCTGATCAGCTTTAATGGGTTGGTTTCTGACGAAATCTCTTCACGGATTCAAAAAGCTCGTTTGATATTTGCCAACTTACGTCATCTATGACGAAGGCGAGATATCCGTCTATCAATTAAAGGATAAGTATACTGAGTAGCGGTTCGTTCTATTTTATTTTACGGATGCGAAACTTGACCATTAATGGTGGAAGATACCCAAAAGTTACTAGTATTTGATAACAGATGTCTTAGAAATGTTGCTCGCATCTGTTCTGATCACTGGGTTGGTAATATTGAGGTTAGACGCAGGGTATTAGGGAATTATGTTAAATCAATTGATGAGGTGCTGAATCTTTATCGATTGAGATGGTTAGGCCACGGATTACGCATGCCCAACCATAAACTACTGTGGCGTGCAATGCTGATTAGTGTTGGAGACGGATAGGAGAAAGTTAGAGACGGCCAAACCAAAATGTGGAACCAGTACATAATATCTGGTATGAGCCATGTTGGTAGATGTAGATTACTTGGTTGGGGTCCGCGCGACTATCATAACCAGTGGTTAGAGGCTCTACCATTGTATGATAAAATATACCGAGCACTAAGACATGAAACCAATGGCTTGAAATGCAATGGTTCATATTTCCAACCTTAATAAATCCGTGGTATGGTACGACAATCATCCAATATCAAGTCGTTGACTAAATGCAACAAACACTTCAAACCTGCCAATAAATGAGGATTACTCCATGTGATCAATGTCTATAACCACACATTGTACACTTTACGTAGGAAGATCTTGATAATTTGTACTGCTACTTATTTAGTCCTTCCATAGATATAAGTAGTCAAACATCTGCTTCGGTTGCAACAAATGCAACCTCTAATTTACATCAAATCTTTAAGCGACGATAGTGAGATACAATTTTGCTTAAAGTTGGAAGAAAATATTCACAAACCCAATATCAAGTGTCTGGAACACTCACATAGAGACTAAAACAAAACCTATTTGGTGAGAAAAATACCTTCTCTTACACATAAAGTACATATAGTGGTAATCACGTTGAGGTGAGCAATGAGTTTTCCCCCAGTAAATATACGAACATCAGTGACTGGTAAACAATTTGCAATGCTTTCAAAGCAATTTTGGGTAGCCCTCGAAAGCCTTTTTTGAGTGAAATATATAACGCTGGACACAGTAAGCTAATAATGCTCGGCGGCTCCCTATATTCGATCACCATCATCCCCGAATCACTGACTGAACCTAATGAGAGCATCGTGTAAGTAACATAGAGTTCTGATCAGTGAAACCATTTACAAACATAGGTCTCAGAACCTTCGATATATATATTATACACGAAATCCCAGAAAATTCCATACTAAGAACCAATTTCCGGTGATTAAAGTGAATGAAAAAACATAACAAGCTTTTACAAAACGAAAATTAATTGGGTCTCCCTAACACTCAATAGTTCATTAAGACTCCCAAGACTGGGGCTCTATAAATAATTTATCCTAGTGACTTTATATAAATGGCTCATAAGAGGAACCAACAGAAAAACTTGTGTACTGTTGCTACATTTTTCGTAACAATTAAGGCTTTTTTTAGAAAAAGTAAAATGAATTCTCATTATTCTCTTAAGTTTACTCGACTTTCTTCTTTACTAAACTCTTACTTATTTTACGATTTATTTTTTTAATACCACCTTGGTATTAAGCAATATGTCATTCATTAATAAACAAGTGAATATAATGACTGATAGCTAAGCGAATAACAAAATGAAAGGAGAATTAGTGTACAACACTCACTTGATAGATAATCTACATAAGTTTACCAGGTTTCCTATGCTGTCAGGTAGTTTTGTCAGTTGATTATGTTGAAGATTTAGATCGCGTAAGGATGTACACTTTCCGATACCTGAGTAATTTTTAAAATATAAAAACACCGTTAAACTTTGATGATTACATAACTATAGATAAAAGTAAAAATTGAAATACAATAAATTTCAATATATTTAGGTGCTTATAAAAAAATCTTGATGAATTTAGTTAGAGACGGGATAACATGAGATTAGGACAAATTTTTTATAATCCTTTTACACATAAATTTGAATTAACCAAGAACGATCGTAAGGAATAGTGTAAATTCATTTATTTCGCGGACGATCTTCAGCTCTTTGCAGGCAAAAAATAGTAGTGCATTATATTTCGAGTATCTTTTCGGGTGGTAACTTATTCTCTCAATGATAAACTCTTCTTCATTCTTGCATCCTTTCTAAATTTTATTCATTTTACCCTGTCAACCTATTCATCTTAACGATTATTACTACGTAACTTTGTCAGTAGTTTTGTTTTTCAGAAACTTCTATCTGTGTTTTAAGATTTCGCTCTCGAATTCGTAAATCAGTAAACATATAGATAATCATATGTTAGAAAACTGTTATTATTCTTCGATACTCATAATCACTTTAGTAATTTTCATAAATATATATACTTTCGAAAAACCAATACTGTTTCAAGGTTGTAAACAGATGAAGAGAATTCACAAAATGGATGAAATCATATTATTCTGTCACGACGGTTGTTTTTTTCTTTATTCAAAGTTCAGCTTTTCTGGATTACTAAGCTAAGTCCTATGAACAATATACTCAACAATAATCGCCCATAACTATTAAACACCATGGTGCTGCAGTTACTCCCACCACTCTACGATTTTATGTGGTAATTATAGGTTTAGATTATATTCAATGCATAGTTCCACACAGTATATAGTGATATGAATGAATGGTTTGATCGCACAAAGCTCAGTAAGTATCCTGCAGCCTGGATCCAATGCAATCAGGCAACCCAGCCAAGTAGTTAGGCACTAACTTCCATCCGGATGACTACAGATCACAGAACCCAACGCACGCGAACATGAATTTGTACGTAAATTTGAAAAATATAGATATAAAAATGAGAACAGATGATAGCCAAGACCTACTTCACCTTAAATATATTGATACAACTCATTTCAGAAATTGAATAAAAAACACTGCAAGTACATTAGTGTTCGCTGCTACCTCCAGACCAGTAGTTACGTATTGTATATAGAATTTATTATGTACTAAGTTTTTTTCTATATAAACCTGACCGAGTTGATTAGATATAATATTATGGTTAATGAGTGAATGTGCAAGATATAGATTTTGGGTTCTTATTATTTTTACAAGAATCTACTTTGAGAATTGCTTGGGATGACAAGGAGCTTATAATCCTGATTTACCTTGTCACTATCAAAACTACCAAACTGTGTTAACAAAGTTGACAAGAAAGTATGGTATAACATAAGTATTAATTAGTATAAAATGAATGGCTAATGTGAGTGGTTTTTGTTTAAACTAATGTGGTCTCCTCTTTAGTAGAAAGCTTAAACAAGCAAATTTCTTCAATCTTAACAGCTTGATACACGTTATGTTCGCAAAAAATCATCACTGAAGGGTCTGTAAACCATTTATGACACTAATGTGTTGTATTTTTGAGTTAGCATTCCGATACGAGCTCTTGAATCAGTTCCTAATGCACACGTTCAGTAAATCCAAAACGAACTGAGTAAACTGTGTGGAAAACCTTATTTCTAATATAACTAGCAAGTAGAACTAATAGGTGGATAAAATTATCCACATACTATTAGAGTGGGCGTTGACCTTTATCTCGGTGAATAATTCATTCGTCCGAGATTTCTCATTTTCACACCCACACTTGTAGTGACTCATCATATAACGTAAGCATGCCACGTGATTTTGGCAAACTATTTTAGATCACGTTGATATATTAACCAAACTACTTAAAATATTTTCATACAGGTTATGACCGACTAACAAACAGCATTCGAATTAACTTAGGGAAACGTTTTTATTATGCATTCGCAACGAATTTTCTAAGTCTGTGTAATTATAAAAAGACATCAAAGGTTTTAGATGTGAATGAAAGGTGAACTCTAACTTAATAAATATGCAATTTTGACGCACTTTTGGTGTACTAAGTTGAAAGTTAGTTAGTCACAATATGGAGCCTGGTTCTTACGTATATCAGTTCAAGTAGCCGTACTTCTTTAACAGAAATATATCAAAAATTAGGCCAAATCCCAGAATAGTAGAGGTCGTGACGGTATGAATGTTGATTGAAAAGACTAGACATAGAATATACGATTCAAGAAAATATAAATTAGTGAGATAAAAGCACAAAAACAGATATGAAGAATTCAAAATCTTAGAATTTGGAGGAAGGCAAAGAATGCACCACTGCAAACGATTCTGAGCCATATCATTCAAAGTCTCTAACCACTTGTTTCAATAATCACGTGGACCCCAACCAAGTAGTCTTCACCCATTAACATGGCTAAGTTTAATTGTCAGTGACTTTATGGACTGACGACATGTTTTGATTTGGCCTCCTTAACTTTATTTCAGATTAAGTTGAAAGATCAATGACTTATTTTTGTGACATGGCTCAACACGAAGATTTAGTTTTTTCAACGCTAGGTGGTTCAGAAAGCTTGGCGAAAATCTCGGAATGTAGAAACGTTAGTCAATTGATTCACAACTTCTCATTAATATTATTATGACTAGTAGAGAAATTATCAAAAAACATTTTATGGGTAGAAAAAAGCCTGTGAATCAAAAGTATTCACGAGATAATAAGTAGCCACTGAGTTGATGATGATTTTAGAGTTTGATTCTCTCAGTTGTATGGTTTATTCGTGATGTTTTTATTCTTCTGCTGAACTACGTCATCAACACAAAATTCGAGTAGTGTGCCATTCGAATTTATTCATATGTTATTAAGTTTATTCTGTCGACCTCTATCTTAGTTGGTTAATGTTAACTTTTATTTTGTCATTATATGAGCGTTTATTTCGACTGTGTTGCCTTATGGCTTGTTTCTTGATGTTATATATTTACATGACTTCATACTCGCTTGATAAATTGGGTTTTTGTCATGTTTTTATTGACTTTTGATTGAAAACACTCATTAGGTATTTTTCCTCATTTTTTCGTGCTGTAAGTAGGCTGCCATTTATTTTCGCTCTTTTCATTAGATCGTACGTAGTTGGCTTCATTAAATCTTTGGTTATTGCTACTTTAGTTGGGAGTTCGGTCTGTGTAAGTGGGCTTTCGATACACCTGAGTCTCCGGTTTTCCTATGTTGGTTCTGACGATTAACAAATCCAAGAACGATGGTTCGTTAATCAACTCATTCTCCATTTTGGATCGTATTTTGTTGAAAAGCAAAGAATATTTAAAAGCTTGGGACTCAGTTCAGCCAGCAATCAATTAACACATCGATCCAGTCTATCAATCACTTATCAAGCAAGTATAAAGTCATGTAAATATATAACATCAAGAATCAAGCCATAAGGCAACACAGTCGAAATAAACGCTCATATAATGACAAAATAAAAGTTAACATTAACCAACTAAGATAGAGGTCGACAGAATAAACTTAATAACATATGAATAAATTCGAATGGCACACTACTCGAATTTTGTGTTGATGACGTAGTTCAGCAGAAGAATGAAAGCGTCACAATTAAAGCATCCAGCTTAAAGAACGAAACTTCACTATAGACAGAGTATTTAAGCGAAAAGTTTGGTCAGTGGATAAATAAAACATATTGCTTACTGTCAGGTAAGAAGGTGATATGATTAAAGGATAAATCCAATTTTACCAATTTCGTTAGTTCACCGATAGAACTAGGCAAATCTTGTCGAATCAAATTACGGCTTACAACCAATACAGATAAGCGCTGAAACGAACAAATAAATATCGAAAAAAATGACAACTTTTTAGTGTTATTTATAAGGCAACTTATCGAAAACGTTAAAATTCTGGCTTACTTTGTAATGTATCTTACTGTGGAACCCAGAAGTCCTATGCAGATCTATGTACTAAGGTTTGAGTCAACCCATTAATATAAAAGTTAACGGTATGTACCAACTTCACAATGAGTGTGAATTTGCAACTTTATGCATAGTCTTGGTTGATAGTAAATATCAACAGTACTGTCCTTCCTTATTAAACTAATACTAAAATTATGACTGCTATACGATAGTTAAATGAGCGAAAAGATGCTGCGAAGCTAACTAATGAACGAACACATTAGCAAAAAATGATAAAACTGAGGACACGGAGCTTGGATTTTGTAGTTCTAGAATCCCCCACACGGTATGTAATAGAAACTAAAGGACATATAGTAGTTATATATATATATATATATATATATATATATATATATATATATATATATATATAAATGAGTGAGATTTGCAAATGTTTTATATTTGGGCAGTGGATGAATTGATGCGAAATTGTCAAAATGTACATGTTTAATAACAAAAAAATAATATAACCTGTATATGGAAGAAATCACTTTGGTTCAGACTATTTAGACACCTAACTTTACGTGTAAATTTATTTATATCGCTTAATAGCAACATTCCTAAACTGATAAGATATGAGGTCCGTAATCACATATTAATCCCACAGAGTAAACCATAAGATTAGTTTTCAAACTAATTGTTAAGCTACACTCAATAAAAACAAGTAAGTGAAACGAATAACTCACTTTTAAATATTTTATTTCGTCTACAATATGGGTTAATTTGTTGTATGTGAGAAGTAAATGTTCCAAGTTATATAAACCACATATACATGTAGGAAGAGGACCATCCAAACGATTGTAACGTAGATCTAATTGTTCCAGATTAGTCAGTTTCGTTATTTCATTTGGTATGCCAGATGCTGTTAACCAGTTTTGTTGCAATAGCAGTCGTTTTAGATTTGTCAAATGACTGATACTGCTTGGTAGTGTGGTTAATTTGTTACCATACAGAAATAAATCTTTTATAAAGGATAAATCTTTGAAAATTGCATTTGGAATCTGTTGAAGATTCATATTAGAAAAGTCAAGGTAGTCGTTATGGGACTCTCGACATTGAGCAACTTCCTTGCTAATATCCTGAAACAAAAAGAGATCGGTATTTTACAAAAATCTGATTTAAGCCTAAAACATGATGAAAAAATAGTCACATGAATACACAAATTAGCGTCGACTCACAATATACTATACAATACTTTTGAAAGACTCAAATTGGACTTGATGGTTGCATTGACTGTTTAGATAAAATGCTTTAACAAAATGTTATGAAACAATAGCTAAAATTTAACAATTCTACACAATGGACGCTACCTTATGTTTCCTGAGTTTAGGTACACGACTACAAAACTTGGTTGGAAATAACTCTAACTAGAACATTGTTCCAAGCCACTAAAGACGAGATGCCAAGAAGGATAAATAACTTCGCAATAACAGCTGAAATAATAAAAATATTAAGCAAATATAACTTCCATAATTTAAGAAGTCTAATCGTAGTATGACTTAACGATGCGCTTAACTTTTTCATCTCTATGAGACTTTGAATCTAAAAGGTTAATCCTCGATTCCCTTCATGATGCATCGTTCTCTTGTCTGTATTATTGATTGGTCTTGGTTAGACAAACGCTGGAAGCCAGGGATCACAAGACTTTCGTATGAATGTAGGACACATCAGAAATACATACGCCAACCCTACTAGGTCGTACGGTGTGTATATTTATTTATTTGAACACATAAATATTGATACAAGGGGGCACCAAATATATATGCGCCACACAAAACAATGAGAATGTGAAGAGAAGAAAGAAGGTAAGGTGTGTATAAGGAAAAAAAGAACAATAACGACCACAGATTAGTGTAAGGTAATGTAGTAATAATAATAAAAATATTGATAACAATAATAATAATGTGGGAAACGGAAAAGTACAGCCAGAAAGAATTCTTTCAGTTAAGCAAGATACAACCACTTTTTATGAAGAAAGTAAAAGGCTTTAGCAGGATCGTCACTGGCTTCTATTTTGAGCCATATCTGATAACGTCTCTAGCCACTGTGTTGCACCATCTCTCCAACCCCAACCAGGGAGTCGTGAAGGACCAACAGAAGCCAGCCCTTTGTAACTCTCTTTCATACCACGACACTATGTCATACACTGACCACCTCTCCGCTTTTTCCAACCAGTCCCAGTGTCGGAAAATAATGCACGATGTGGGATTCTCTAGGACGACATTCGTAGAACGTATCCAAGCCACCGAAGTCGATGTTTCAGGATGGTGACACCAATCGCATTATCGTCTCTGTGCCCGAACACACGATGCTGAACCTCTGGATTACTAACATGGTGTTGCCACTGGATGTCAGCAATCCTTTGTAGACAACGATGATCAAACACAGAGAGTCATCTAACACCCTCAACTCGGAGATGCTAGGTTTCACAAGCGTAGAGTAAAACCTCTCCCCCCGACGCGTTGTAGATCCGACCTTTTACAGTCAGACTGACATCACGAAGGTGCCAAAGGTGACCCAGATTGGCATAAACCTCCCTGGCTTTCACTATACGTGAATTTATCCCATCACTCAAGCCACCACCAGCACTTATGCAGCTACCTAGATGCCGGAACTTCTAGACTACTTTTATCTGTTCACCATCCAGGGTGAAAACAGGATTAGAATCCTATCAGTCTTGTAGAAGTACTTTGCATTTCGAAGGTGCAAAACACATAACGTACCAACGGTGTGTATGCTTCTGTTTATCTGATATTTTGACTCGTACGTGTTCCAAAGTGAAAACTATATATGGACCTAGTATAGTACATCGTAAACATTTAATTAAATAGTTCTAACTTACAAATGATAATTACGGGTTCACACTTCAGACATGGACTACTAATCAGTAACATTACGAAGTGATATTTCGGAATTCAGTTGTAAGGGTCGAATATGTAGTCAGCACTGGTTTTCCAGTTGCCTACCACAGTAATAGTTCAAACTTATCCCGTAAATATCAACATAAAGATATAATAACTCCCGCTTCCACACATGAATTTATTGAAGGCCCATTTCAACCTCTGGAGATTCCAACATTTTGGTTTCGCCTTACAGAAATAACAATGATGAGTTTCTACCATCTTAATCTCTACTTTTCGAACCTGTCCCATCATCTCTTAAATATTCGATCCCTATATAACATATGTAGTCTAACACATATTAGATATAGTATTTGAAACGTTCCAGCAAAGCTATCAAAATACTTCCGTAGTCAATGAACAGAGGACCTTGTAAGTGCAAACAAAAGCAGTGAGACTATAATTTATGCACGACCTTTGAGCGACACCAAAAGTGGCCTTGAGAATGTCCACCAACTGATTAGGGCTAAATAAGGGTTATAAGTCTGTGAATTATAAGGATGGTTAGGGATAGAGATTAGACTCAGGGTTTTCATCACGAAATGACATTAGCTAAAATGCTGAGACACTATTTAGCCAAATGGATAAAAGAATTTCGAGTTGAAGACCTGTTACCGTTAATCTAATTAATTCGTCCATAAATTAGTCTCGCCGCAAAAGCCGTTGGTAAAAGTTACCCACCCTAAAAGAAGTATTTGTCGAGATCGACATTCCATCAGAAAAAATGTGTATAAAAAAGATAAATAATGAGTTGTTTGAAATTCCGTCTACGTGGACTGAAGTAACAAAGGATCAGCAAAAATTATACAAAACTTACGGGAGGTTTTGCTTTCTTCATACTGTGTTTTGACACAACTTTGAACAACTTTCCATCATGGGGTTGGACAAAGACAGCCTTTTTGCTGATATCTGAACCGCGTCTTCGACTACTAAGACGAATTCCGTGTTTAGAATCCTTCACCATACATTTCGGATTAATGTCTAACATTCCAGTAGTGCGTGAAGCCTCGTGAATTTGGAAATATGGGTCACTATCGATATCGTTAGAAACTGAAGGACGTGAAACATCAACAGATGAAGGATTCTCGTCAGAATGACTCTGATGCAATATTTTTGAAATTCCTATACACATCGAATCCATATAGTTATCATCAGAAGGCTTATGATTACTAGTCATTTTGAATCAGAAATACCAATTTCGAAACAGCCATTAAATATCTATTTTTAAATATGACAAATAAGTTCAGTTCGTCTACAGTAAATAACTTAAAACTCCGCGAAACTATAAGATCCCGGAAATCATCATTATAAGAGTGACCCTGAATTTGTATGACCTACCTAAAGATCAAGGCTGAAGGCTCGATAAACACAACTTATTGAGAACTCAATTCAGATTCCAAGATCAAAAAATATTTATCATCCTTGAGCCCATTGAGTGAGTAATTTCATAGAACATACGATTTTGTTGATATGAGAAGAAGTTTTAACAGAATAAATTGACAAAATGTTTCCAGATCTGTGTAGTAAGGAAAGAAGGCTAACGGCCTGTATTATTCCTTTTCTAGTATGAGTCTGTGAATATTTTGTCTTCCCTAGAATGAGTCAGTTGAGGGCGCAGGCTGCACTACTTTGGATAGCAAGTTCCAAGAATTGGTGACTCATTGAAAAAACCTGTATACCACCGCTATTATGTTCGTTCTTAGCTTTTCTACTCACCTGTCATGTACTCTGAGATGTCCGGATATAGTGAGAAGGAAAAGAAAGAATATATCATATCCAAAATCATTTCTTAATAGTTTATATATCAAAATCAATTCACCTCTTCATCTGCGGTACGATAGAGAAAAGAGGTTCAGCTTTTCAAGCCGCTCATTTATGGTAAACCCCGGAGTCAGGATTTGCACGGATAGCCTCCATCTGTCCTTTTTCCAGGTTATCCAAGTTACTTTTAAAACAGGAAATTGCATCGTGAACTTAGTTTTTAAGTTTAGTTTTCACATGACTGTGTGAACTTTGAAGTATCTAGCCTGGTGAATGTCTAACTGTCCATCGTTTTCAAAAACCTTATATGAAACCTCCTGGCAGTGGGCCTTGGTATTATGATCATGACTCACTGTCACCCCATGATCCTTGTGGGACCAAACCACGGGTATAGACACTTCCTCTATGCTGTATCTATTACCTTTGTATCCCCAAAGTGTATGTAGACATACCGCCGCGTTGATAAGCATCAGCCACTCTTTGTACCGGCTGATCACAATATTTATGTCTGCCTGAAGCTCGCATGCACCCGCGTCTTCTATTATTTCTAACCACATCTTGACATCATCAGCCTATAGTAACATTGGAAACCCAACTATACTCATGAAATCAATTACATACAGTGTAAAAAGTAAAGGACATGGGACAGAACTTTGTGGTCACCAGGTAGAGCACCTCGAATTCGCTTTTACTTTTGTCTACGCCCCACTAGGAAATCCTGAAGCTTTTTACGGGAGGTCCGGCAATGCCAATGTTTTCCAATTTCAATAACATTATTTGTTGGCACCTTATCAGATGCTTTGCTGAAGACTGGGTAGTCATTGATTTGCCATTGTCTAGAGACTTCATCCATTGCTCCCTTGCTACAAGGAGGTTTGTTGTGCAAGATCAACCCTTTCTTAAGCCATGTTGTTCTCCGTTTAACAAGTTCTTGGTTTCCACGAACGTCATTACAGACTTTCCAACTATTATTTCCAGTATTTTAACTATGGCACTGGTGAGGCTCACAAATTTTTAGTTTGATGAAAGTTGTCTTGGTCCTGTTCTACGTTCCAGAGTGACGATTTCATCTTTCCAGTCGGCGGGTAACACATGTTAGCCAAGTGATATACTGAATATCTAGTCAGTGGTGCTGCAATATATTATGTAATCCATCTCAGGATTTTTGGGTGTGGTTCATCCGTTCATGTTGATTTTTCCGTGTCTAAAGTGTTAAGAGTTTTGATTACACCATCTCGAACAAAGTCCACGGTGAGCAGATGGTTTGTTGGGTTTGTATTTGGGTATAGTTCTTCGTCTAGAAGAGGCTCCTGAGTGAAAACTGCCATGAAATTATATCCTATAACCTGTGCATTTTTCTCATCACACTCTAACACTTCAGATCCATTGCCTCTCGTAATTAGGTTGTGAATTCAAGCCTGCATCCTTATTCTGTAATTTATGTACGAAAATAGTCTCTTAGAGTGCTTTATTACAGATTGTACCAACTGAACCTCATATTTTCTCTGAACTTCCCAGATATTTAACTATGAATTTATTTCTTATCGACCCTAGTTGTTATAACTTGACTGCAGATTAGACGGCAGCGTATTATCAATTTACAACAATGACGCTTAAAACCGTATGAACAGCTTAGAGTTCTGGTTGGTCCTGCTTTCCGCCTAGCCCAGCTAGGTAAGTCCAGAACACAAGTCTCAGCCTCTGCGATATGAATCATGTATTTCAAACATACTCTGTTTATATACCAATCAAGCAGACTACATCGTACCATAAAATAAAAAATAACATTTGTACAATATTTGGTCAACAGGAAAATGACACGTGAAATAAATATTGACCAATACGAAAATGATACCATCTCAAGTCCAAGAATAGCATTAGACTTAATAGAATAATTTTTGGAATATTTTCCTGAATATCCCAAAAATAGTACTTGTCGTGCTTAAATTGATAGCAACGTTCCGACACTTTGTTCTAGTAAATGTCAAATATCCCGGCCCATCCTGGAATGGCTTTGCTTCTTTATCTTTGGGACTGTACAGGGTGTGTTGTCGAGTTACCTGATTGTATAACTGCCAGGAATGAGCCTGTGCATCGACCACTGATGCCACGAAGTAAATTATCTAGTTTACAGCCAATGCTGAAGAGTTTATCGCCTCGATGTTCACCTTCCATAAAATAGGACGTTCTGGGCTATCTCAGCCATAAACTTGAATACGATGACTGTATGATTACTCCTCTTTGGATGTAGAAGGAAAGTCATTTGACCGACATCATCACCGGGTGTGAAGACCAAGCCAGAGAAAAATGAGGAGGTTCCACAGTCATATCTGGTGGGAACTCCGTTTTCTGGAATGAAGCCGGGGATATTGTAGTTTATAACAATTTGCAATCAAATGACATTGTTGATGGCCCTAATTTTAAGTTTACTCAATCTATATACGGTGCATTAAAGTTACCTACGAAGAGATCTTGCTCCTATTACACCAGGACTTAAGTTTGCTTAGGATGGAGTCATCTACTACACATTGTCGACTGCAGTTTACTACAACTAATTTAATATCTTTCCATCCGTATTTCAGCCTGTAAAGTACCAGTTCACATGTCCCTGAATAATGTGACACCCTCTCAACAAGTTGAGGTACTTGTGTGCAGAAGATAACCACACCTCTCCTACGGTTTAGTCTATCAGCCAATCAACTGAATTTCGTCATCGAAGCTCCTGTTTATCTGAGGGCAACGTGATAGTGGCTTGCATCACCATTTATATGCAGCTGGTGTGAGACCGTTGCTTACATTGTGACACCACTAATTGCAGTTGTCACGTTGCATACCATCATCGACTGTGAATTAGCATTCAGGTGAACCACAAAGATGTTTAAATCGCGCCGTAAGATTGTTTTGTGATCTCTCAGGAAGAACAACAACGAAAACCGAGGTCTAGAAAAAGTGTTTTAAAGCTTGATAGGCGATATAAGCGAAAATTAGAGGTTTGTGTAATACTGTACTTAAAGAGAATAGTAAAAAAATCCGACTTCATTTGGTACAAAAAATTAAAATTTTTGAATACTAACAATAATAAGCTATATAATCAATGAAGAAAAATACCTGTGCCCTTTTTTGTATCTGTACTCAGAAAGTAGAGGTGATAAAGTTCTCTAGTAAAAAGGCCATGTCCTTAGAGATTAATTTAACTGAAGTGGACTCATCTAAAGTTAAAACGGTAGTCTTGGTGCCTATATAAACGATCAATACTACATATTATACTCAGAGGAAAGATACTAATGACCTTAGAAAATGACGTGTGTATTGTAATTATTCTTTAAAGTAGGGACTGTGCGACATCTCTCTCCCAGGCTCACTCAATTAAGATTCGTTGTGAGTTTTAACCCATAGAGGTGCAATGGTGGGTCTCCATTTGGGGTCAGAGCAAATTGATCACCCTGAAGCCGTCGAAAGCTATTGACTATTATATGATTAAATACACGTGAATGTAGACTTTTCTTCAGATGACTCTTTATAGAGAAATCCTCTGTACAAACTTGAACGCTTCACTTCAGTTAGCAGGTAGAAAATAAGAGCATAAAATCACTGTTGATAGTCATATTGAATTCTGATTTTCAGATAATTGGCATAGTGCACAAACGTATCAGAACAATGAGTTAATTATGTCAGAAATATTTCGCATACTGGTCTGTTATTAATTCGTATCGAGAAAAGATAAATTCTTTGTTTATTGTAACTAAACACAAGGGATCGAATAAGGACTATCAAAGTCGACATTACAATGTGACTGAAACAACCCTCAAAGATACGCCGTTTTGTTTTCTCTTTATGTATAGCCTTCTTCTTGTAAGACTGTTTTATCATTAAAAGTTTATACGAAATGATACTCCTGACTCCCACTATATGGCAACTCAAGATAGCAACTGATATAACAGGTGTAAGGCCATATAAATTTGGTTGTAGCATCATGCATAGAACTACTCATAAATGTCGACCAATAGTTGTGGATTCATTAGGTTAACCATTAAATGTGAACGCCAGTACTACAAGCTATTAAAAATGAACTACGAAAGCGAAAATTCTAGCAACAACCTAGTAATAAAGATATATCAGTCCTAAGAATGCACATCCATTCATGACGTTGTTGTTCGCCATTTCATCATGAGAAACAGGTTTTCAGAAAGCCTTCTTTGGAGAAAAGTTATGCAGAAACTAATAGTCGCACTAATGAATATCCTCCTCAAAGTTGTTTGTGTCATAAATTCAATGTCGACATAAATTATTAGTTCTTCGTATAGACATGGTCCTGTATCTGTCAATTTGTCTGTTAAAAAAGGTGCGTATAGATAACACACTACTAACACTAGGTTGAAATAATGTAGGACAACTTAGAAACTGTTCAGCCTCAGGAACAGACACCTTACTGGTTGAGGGAGTAAATGTCAGACTGCAAAGATGTAGCATGTTTTCATCAGTGATTTTGGTGAGGTAAAAGAAGTACTGACAAAGTAGACAGAGATATACCTCACTAAGACGAAAATATAGGTCTTGTAGGCTTTGTGATTAAGGTAGATATGAATTACCTACCAGTTCCACTTAACTACTAGACCTAGTATAGCATAATTGGCTTGGAGTTATTTGACCGTTTTATCTATGTGACGTAACAGTAAAGTCCCATTAATGTAAGTAACAGCTACTCTTTATGATTCGGTTTTAAAATAAAAAGTTTCTGAGATCTTCACCATCCGACGGAACCCATACGTTAGATTTACTCCTGTTATCACGTAAACAATGACAAACAGACTCTAAAAAAATCATCAGAGGGCAGTAAAAACGTCCGACAGTAAATGACTTGAAAAACTTTAACCGTACGCTGTATAACCGAGTGCACCGATCTCGTCACTTAAGTCTTTCAATTGATAAGAAAGACTTGATTCCCAAAAAAGCGCAACCTGATGGTTTCAAAAGTGATTTGTCCAAAGAAATTAAAGATTTAAACGTTTTTTAACCCAATATCGTGAAAAAGAGCTTCAAATCCACCTTTATGTGTATTACTACAACTATTGCTATTCACCACGTCAACAACCATGCCTTTAATAACGGAATAATAATCTAGTTCATTGTATTCGATCAACAGGTAAATTCGGAAATATAGTCACGGTTAACACAATATACAAATGAATGATAGCTCGTATTGAAAGAATTATTATTTCTTTAAATTGCAACCCGTTGCATAAGTTTGTTTAAATACGCTACTAAACTTGAAAGAGTTAATTTAGGGGGTCACGGACGCATAGCGCGAATTATGTCAACTCTTGGAAGGAAAGCAAGTGTTGCTCGCTATAATCGAGACTCATTGATATCTGATGACTTGATACAGTCAATAAACACTGAAGTATACCAACGCAAATATGTTTTCGAAGTTGCTTGGGAGGTGGTCAATAAAGGTCAAAGTTTTGTCAGTATTACGTTTCTTACATTTTATTTCTAACCTTATCAAAATGACTTCATCGAGTATCACTTTTTCCTTCTAGTTGGTGGAATATATACTGTCATCCGTACTAAGGCTGCATCTGCTGTAGAGGAGTTGGGTGACCGTTATATTTTATTTGGCCCACTTAATGAAGTATGCATGAGGACTGAAGTAGATGTTGCAGAGCCAACAAATGAGGCATTGAAGCGTACTGTTAAAGCCATGCGTGAGCATGGCACAAAAGTGAGTGAATTTTGGTATGATTCATCTGCTGTTCGAGACAAAGCTATTCCTATGTTCTAGTTATTCGGTGGTTATGCTGATTCTCGTGAGATAGCTCTACATAATCGGTGTCTATGACTTATAGCTATTATATTCTGAAGTCCGTTCAATTAAAATAATTTTCTGTTTCATACCAATTCAGCTGGTTATCTTGTGCATTATAATCCTATATAAGTTGTGTCGCATAGAGGAGTACGAAACTCATCATTATCCAAGGTTCTCTAAATATGAAACGCGGTGAGACTGCAATTCATAGACGACTTTTGAGAGACGTTGAAAAGACCATGAAAATATCCACCTACATATTAAGGCTAAATGAAGATTATAAACCAGTGTGAGGAATCAGGATTAATATTTACAGTTGATAGATAGGGTTAAGAATTAGATTTATGGTTTTCACCACGAACTGATATCGACTTTAATGCCAAAACCCTATTTATCCAAATAATTAAATTAATTTTGCGACAAAATTCAAGACCTCTTATCTTAAATTTGATTGGTTTCTTCATAGATTTTAGTCTTACCTGAAACTACCACCCACCATAGACACTTTTATCTTATTTAAAAATGAAATCTTATACTTACCTTTCAATTCTAATTTAAAGACAAATGCTTGATTTCGTCTTAATGGTTTTTAACTTATCACAAGTCATTTTTATTCGGGAACATCACTTTGAAATAGTTGATATTTTCGAATATAATGATAGATAATAAAACTATAATAATGCCACAAACTCCACTTATGGTTAAGTATGTACATTTACTGGATCAACGAGGAACTATTTATCTATGTGAAAAGTTTATTTTGACCATAAGAGTTTTGTTCACTGAAAACGTTTTCACCTGGTGTCCATGGAAAATTGTTTCTACAAATGTGGCACTTGAAAATGTATTATATTAAAGCGTACTGGCTTTGTGCTTAGTTATGTGGTCATCTGTCCAGTTGAAGTTGTTTGCAGAATCACTTGTATGTTAAAAGCTCATCATTATTTGCTAAGCTGTTATTAAAACTAACGATATTTCATTAGCTACTTATTAAATGTTGCCTAATATTGCTTATCTGGTTGTTTACAAAGCAGTTTTGTTCTTTAGTCATCGCAAATAAAATTTGTTCATAGTGTCGAACTCCTAATAGGAAATCATTTGTAATTCTCTTGTTTGGTGCGAAAGTGAGATGATTTGTAATCATGCAATCGGTATGTAAAGTTATCTAATGCTTGAAATGTAGTATATGTGATCAGCCATTAGTTTTTTTGTTCTGAGGATTAGTTTTGTTTCATATTATATCTAGAACCGACTGAATAGATAATCACTTTTAGGCTAATTCAGTTTTGTTGTTCATCTTTCTCATTTCAAGCTCCTGAATGTATAAAAATCGTAAAATATTTTCATCATTATACATACTGAAATTTCAAGGTATTCGTATTCCTTTTATTGACACCGCGAAACTGTAAGATCCCGGAAATCATCATTATAAGAGTGACCCTGAATTTGTATGACCTACCTAAAGATCAAGGCTGAAGGCTCGATAAACACAACTTATTGAGAACTCAATTCAGATTCCAAGATCAAAAAATATATATCATCCTCGAGCCCATTGAATGAGTAATTTCATAGAATATACGATTTTGTTGAAATGATAAGTTTTAACAGAATAAATTGACAAGATGTTTTGACATCGAATTAATTATTATATGACTAAATAAACGTGAATTCAAACTATTCTTCTGATGACTCTTTAAAGAAAAATTCCCTATGCAAACTTGAACGCCTCACTTCAGTTAGCAGGTAGAAAATAAAAGCATAAAGTCACTGCTGATCGTCATATCGAATTTAGATTTGCGTTGTTTTTTTTTAATAGACACAAAGATCAATTATAAATTTTGACAATTTGGAATGGGTTGGCTAAATTTCAGTAAAGATGTCACTATATAACTCACTTCTATCATTTCGACTGACCTCATATCGCTAAAATTTGTAAATAATCTTACTCTCAATTTTTCGAAGTTCCTTATAAAGAGGCTAAAGTTCTTGTATTAAACTCAAATAAATTGATTTTTTGAGGTTTGTTTAGATTTCCAGTATGTAAGAATAATGGCTCCTACACATTGCTATCGGACGCCTCTTTTCTGCTTTCAATTGAAACTTTCATCACATTACTCTAGACTTTTTGAACATTATTTTTCTCTTCCTTTAGACATGATTTTATATGCTATTACTGAGATCTATATATTTTTATCAGAATACTTTGATTTGTTGATTCATTTTGATGTTATATTGCCTTTACATTCGTTTTCTTATCTTGAGTAGGGAGATCTTTAAGGTTATAAAGGGACCTGTGTGTATGATCTTATCCTTTTTCCTTGAATGAATGAACATCGTGTCATTTTACATTTGGAACTTAAGTTCTACCAATTTTTGTTTGATTTTAGAGGTTTTGGTTTTTATAAAAGTATCCCATCGACATTGGTAGTTCAAACTATTAATGTTTAAGCTAAGAATATATGGATTATTCCACAGTCACCATTCTGTTCATAAATGTAGGCTTATTAACTGGTTTGCCCTGTAGTGTTTTATTTAACATAGGAATTATAGGTTTGATAGTTCTGTTAAAGCAGGTGATGATTTGAAGAATTATAGTTACCTTTAAATTTCTTCAAAATTATTTATGTGTAATTGTGTAATTTAACTTAACTGCTTCGATTTTACTCTTCAGGTTATTTATAGATATTAGGCTATCAATTATTTCTAATAGTAGTGTGTCTATGTATTACCTTGTCCAGTTAAATCAACTCTGTCAGAGGGTTATGAACTCTGCGAGCATGAGATCTTGTCAAAGGGTTCCTTTTTCAAACTAGTTTTTTAAATCCGTACTGTATTCGAGTGATTATCTTAGATTTTGGTAAAATAGATAAACCACTTATTTGGGTTAACGTCCATAGTAGTCTACATGAATATTCAAACGGTTTTATGAGTCAATGAGCCCCTTTTTAAAACGAATAACTTTTTAGGAAAATTAGCCACTACGTCCACACTTGGAAACCAATTTTAACAATAATTATGACAGTAGTCATGTATTTCTTCTATATTTCCATTCAATGTTTACCCATTGTTTACAGGTAGTTTTTGGTCGGTGGCTTATTGAGGGCTATCCCAACGTTGTTCTGTTTGACATAGGATCATCAGCTTGGCGCATCGATTCTTGGAAAAAAGAACTGTGGGAATCTTGTAATATTGGAATTCCGGTCCATGATACTGAGTGTAATGATGCCGTCATCTTTGGAGCACTTGTTGCCTGGTTTTTGAAAGAAGTAAGTGAATTTGTATTAGATTGAAGTTCATTATATATGGTTATCTTCACTGTATCGGTAAGAAATTTGAAAATTTTAGTCATGTACGCTGTGTGATTCTACACAAACGAATTGATGTTACTAATTAGGTTTAGATAAAGCTTATTTAGTGTAAAATGTGTTGTCACTAAGCAATATTGATTGGAATGGGGAGTGGATTGGAAGATAGCTAGGGACGGCCAAACCAAATGTAACATCGGTCCATGAAGTCATTGACTTCTTGACTAGGATATGTTGAAAATTTCAGGTTATTTTGTTGAGGTCTACACATGCGTAGTAGACAGTCATTTGTGATGTTTTGTAGCATGGCTCACAATCTGCAGCAGTGACGTAAATATATTTACTCTTTATCTTCCCTTAGATTATAGGTTCGGAAATTATTCAATATCGTTTTACTTTGTGAATTTATTCACTCTCCTCAGATTAAAGTTTCTGTCTAATGTTGTTTTACTGTCACTGATAAAAATTCTATTTTGGTTTTCTTTGTGGTGGTTTCATCTCTTTGTGCTGATTTGATACACCAACTTTGACTGATTCATGTAAATTCCAGGTTGTACGTTACAAATGACTGACTGAGAACGTTTAGGAGGTACTTTTAAATAATCACAGACCGACTGTGATAGAAATGATAACAATAATCTTATTCACAGAATTTAAAGTGATTTATTAATTGATTATTCTTACCAAGATTTTTGAAGTTTTCCCATCTTTCTATCGATCAAAGTACTATGGCTTGTTTTTTATTATTGCTTAACATGGATGTAGATGCATATTTCTGAAATTATATTAGTTAACTAATTGTCACTGAAGTCTGTCTCAGGTTTTGAATCTTGCAACTAACTTTCTAGTAAAGATTTCTGAATACACTAGAAATAAACATTGTTTCACAGATCTATTATGCATCGTGAAAAATGGAAATAATTCAGGTAATGACTTTTACGGATTGTACGAAGCTAATGAGCAGTTCTTTATAAAATACTGAAGACGATTTAACAACATTTGTTTCTTTTTATAAGGTGTTTATTGTTAAGGCTTTTTGATTAGTTTACGAAATTCTTATTTACTATTCTAAAATTAATGTATGTATGCATAATGTCATGCATTAATCGTAATGGTAGGTTATTTATTTGAACACATAAATATTGATACAAGGGGGCACCAAATATATATGCGCCACACAAAACAATGAGAATGTGAAGAGAAGAAAGAAGATAAGGTGCGTATAAGGAAAAAAAGAACAATAACGACCACAGATTAGTGTAAGGTAATGTAGTAATAATAATAAAAATATTGATAACAATAATAATAATGTGGGAAACGGAAAAGTACAGCCAGAAAGAATTCTTTCAGTTAAGCAAGATACAACCACTTTTTATGAAGAAAGTAAAAGGCTTTAGCAGGATCGTCACTGGTTTCTATTTTGAGCCATATCTGATAACGTCTCTAGCCACTGTGTTGCACCATCTCTCCAACCCCAACCAGGGAGTCGTGAAGGACCAACAGAAGCCAGCCCTTTGTAACTCTCTTTCATACCACGACACTATGTCATACACTGACCACCTCTCCGCTTTTTCCAACCAGTCCCAGTGTCGGAAAATAATGCACGATGTGGGATTCTCTAGGACGACATTCGTAGAACGTATCCAAGCCACCGAAGTCGGTGTTTCAAGATGGTGACACCAATTGAGTTATCATCTCTGTGCCCGAACACACGATGCTGAACCTCTGGATTACTAACATGGTGTTGCCACTGGATGTCAGCAATCCTTTGTAGACAACGATGATCAAACACAGAGAGTCATCTAACACCCTCAACTCGGAGATGCTAGGTTTCACAAGCGTAGAGTAAAACCTCTCCCCCCGACGCGTTGTAGATCCGACCTTTTACAGTCAGACTGACATCACGAAGGTGCCAAAGGTGACCCAGATTGGCATAAACCTCCCTGGCTTTCACTATACGTGAATTTATCCCATCACTCAAGCCACCACCAGCACTTATGCAGCTACCTAGATGCCGGAACTTCTAGACTACTTTTATCTGTTCACCATCCAGGGTGAAAACAGGATTAGAATCCTATCAGTCTTGTAGAAGTACTTTGCATTTCGAAGGTGCAAAGCACATACCGTAGCTACGGACACTGATTGTCAACTGATTAAGTGCGGATTGGATTGCTTGGGCATTATCGCACAGTAAAACGATATCATCCACATACTCAAGGTCGAGAAGTCTTTCTCCATGCAACACATCTACACCGCCATTACTTACATTCGTCAGAGCTGTTTCTAGAGTGTCATCGATGGTAAAGTTGAAGAGGAATGGTGAGATTGTGACGTTTCATGATAGGAAACCGGATATTACTAGATGATTTGTATTGATATGAAGACAACTTTCAAATGTTGTTAGTTATAAAAGTAAAAACATAGTGACCTTCATAAGCAGGGCCGGATGTTTGGATCATCTTCATTTCTTCTTCAACTTAATCTGTATTCAAGGAGTAACTATATTTATATAAGAAACCCTAAATCTTCAGTCAGTCAGTCAGTAACAACGTAGAACTTCGTACGTACGTACATCAGTTCGAGTTGCCACACCACCTTAGCACAGAGATGCAGTTGTCGATTCAAATCCCGTAGTGGTAAAAGTTGTAAGAGTATAAGCAGTGATCGGGAAGATTAGGGTTTGGAGATGTTATTTAAAGAGTATAATCCAGTGAAATAATTTGGAAAGTTGAAAAAAGGGACATGAAGAATTCAGAAGATTCGAATTTGGGAGAACACAAAGAGTGGATGCACCTGCGCCATTGCAAACGATTTTGAGCCATGTCATTCAGAGTCTCTAACCATCTGTTGCTATCATCTCGCGGCCCCCAACCAGGTAGTCTACACCTACCAACATGGCTCAGTTCACTTGTCAGTGACTTCATGGATTTGTGCCATGTTTTGGTCTGGCCACCCCTAGCTTTCTTCCAACCTACTCTTATACCATTGAACATCGGTCGTTGGGCATACGTAACACATGTCCCAGCCATCTCAACTGATGAAGTTTCACCACTTCATCAATTGATTTGCCATCCTTACCTAGTACCCGTTTCCTAACAACCGCATTACTTATTCGATGGTCCCAGGATATACGAGCAATGTTTCGAAGACACCTATGATTGAATACTAGTAACCTACGAATATCCTCTACTCTTACCGGCCACGTTTCACTGCCATAAAGTAGGACGGGACGAACTGCTGCTCAGTAAACACGTCCTTTGGTTGATAGACGGATATCTCGCCTACGCCATAAATGACGCAAGTTGGCAAAAGCTAGTCGAGCCTTCTGTATCCGTGCTGAGATTTCGTCACACACCAGACCACAAGGGCTGATGAGACTTCCAAGATAAGTGAAGCGGTCGACACATTCAACTACTTCACTCCCTATCACTAGTTCGGGTGTCGATGTAACCCAATCCTGAAGCAACATTTTGCATTTCGAGGGAGAGAATCGCATCCGGAACATGCTTGCATTGTTGCTTAGAGTGGTCCTACCCTCATATCTGTTCTCACAAATTGCTGTAATCATGATGTTTCAACTGGATCCCTCTTAATACAAAACAAGAGAATATTTTCTTTTCTACTAAATAGTTAACCAGTTAAACGTAGTTAGACAACATAAAAACTCAGTACGGATCTCAAGGAAGAAGTATAATTGGCTATCAGCAAATAAAAAATTTGGTTCCGACGACTTAGCAGTGATTGGCTCGAAAAATGTAATGTTTCACATCTCTTGTGCTATAACTATTAATTATTAGAAAACTACTTTTTCGTCATATTCATAGTATTTAAAAAAACAACTCAAATCTGTCTAATTTACTCTTAATATTTGTTTTTGGTGATACCTACGAATATCCACTTAATTTGTAATCATTTGAATATGTCTTCGTTTTGCATTGTGGCTTAGGTCAGCAAAGCTAGTTCATCACGCTTGCCATGAATTCTGAGTAATTGTGATTTTATTTATATTTTTAGTTTGCTGAAAATGTCAGAGAACTAGAAACTGACCCTCAACCACCAATTATTGCACACTTTCATGAGTGGCTCACAAGCATTGGTTTAGTATTTACGCGTACACGTCATCTTCCTGTTGCTACTGTGTTCACTACACATGCAACACTTTTGGGTCGTTACTTGTGTGCTTCCTCTGTTGATTTATATAACCATCTTTCGGATTTTGATCTAGATAAGGTTTGTTCTTGTTTTTCGCATATTGTTTCACCACTAAATGGTTCATTCTAATGTTTATTTTCATTGTTAAAAATTAATGTCGTGCAATTTTATGATTCTCTTCTGTTTTATTTTCTCCACAAGAGGATTACCTTAAAGCAACTGAAATAGATAGTCAGACTAACACTTCGATCTATATGTTGTCAAACTATTATTGCTTGTTAGGGATATGAGGATCTGGCAGTCGAGTGTAACATATTTTTGGAAACTGAAGGCAAAGAATTTAAAATAGTAACTATATCACGTTTGAGATGTGGGACTGTTGTCCCAGTATGATTATGAACACCACAGTTACATTGATCATATTATCTCACAACTGAGCGGTCGAACCAATAAAATACTGTTTGGCGGATGCTGTAAAACTGTGAATCGGTGACTGAAGTACCTTACAAGATAATTATACATATACATATTGTAGAAAAAATCACTTAATTATACAAGTTGATGATTCAAATTTAAGCATATGAATTCTAGTACCATAATTTAAAATTATGTGAATAGCTACAAGAAATGATCTATCTCTCGGTTTTAAAAATGGAACCAAGTTATTGTAATTCTGTATGCTTTATAGTAACTTCAATCTTAAATATGTTCCTGATCAACAGAAGCATTTCGTAATTTTAGATCATACTTACCAAAGTAGAACGTTTTAACAAAAGAGACTGAGAATGCATCTCCGCTATCAAACATACGGAAGAAAGTGGTGTTTACGAACCATCATACATTTTTCTTAAGTCATCATTTAAGAAAACTTAGCTAAAATAATTTTAAAAATCATATGGTGTTTCCTTATTTTTCTTAAATACGAAAAAAGCTATGGGTTTCTGCCTCTTGCATTGTTGTACTGATCCTTTGTTATGCTTCGGCACTGTTTCTATGATGAAACAGTATGTTGTGTTGAATATTATAGTGTCAGGGGCTAATAACTAAATTTTTCATCAGATTACTTGCTACCCAGATCTTTTCAAGATTGCGTTTCTGAGATGACAAAATGAAATTGTCTTTACAAATTTCCTTGTATTTTAACTCTACTTTGAAATCTTTGGCCAGCACTTTTTCAACCTCTCTCAAGGTCAAACTGTCCGTAAAATACCATTAAAATCAGTAAAAATCGGATAGACGGACATAAACAACCTCTTACAAATGTTAATCGATCCAAGTTATTGCACGTTATATCCATATGTCTAGATGGAATAAACCAGCGAAAAGGAACAAATTACTAAAAATAATAATATCGAGAATAGTAAATAACTTCTGAAGGAAAAAATAAATAAATTAACCAATGAAATCGATGAATGAAAGGTATATGATGATATAATGTTCATAACTTTGGGGAAATGTAATAGATTGGTACATATGAACACCAACTAATTCTGAGCTATATCTTTTTAGTGTTTCATGGACTTTAAAAAGTAAACGTGTCCTTATTGAACTCAGGTCATTAACCAAGAACTTCATAGACTTCTGACGTACGTTGTGTATTTATATATTTCTCTTCAATCCCAACTAGCAAAGCTAAGCATAGCAGAAAATCATTGAGATGTATCATACAAGTCATAAGCTTTTCAAAAGACTTGCCACATCCAACTAGAAGTTTGCGGCAAACATGTGTATTACTCAATGGTGCTACACATACCCAAGGAATTTGTCAAGGTTATCTATGTTCCAAATATTTTTAACTTATCCCTGTACGCTATTTCTGAAGGCCTTTTGTAAGCAAATATAGAGTAAAATATTTCTCAGAGAACTTGGGCTTTAAAAACCAAACGAACGTATCATCTGTACTACAAATGGAATAAATTAGCAATCTGTAGGGACTTCTTTTTTTGTAGCTCCAAAGTTTTTTATCCGTACGTTTGATATAAATATTACGGTTTCGAACATAGCTGTAATTAAACTTCTTAACTATGTGGTTGTAAAGTGTTACATCATATTTAGTTTGAGAGACTTCTCTCATACTTTGTCATTTAAGGCCTTTAGAACATTGAATTTTAGGAGAATTTTCATCAGACAGAACTGTATTATCTGCCTATTTTGAGAATTTGCGAGTCTTCAAATATGAAAGCGATCTGTGAAAAATCACTTGAAGAAAAAGCTATTTCTAAGAAAATATAGAAATAATAAATAAAAACATTGTTGGCGCGTTTTGTTTTGTATTCCAAATTGATATCTCAGTCCATCGTTAACTTTGACGTGACGATTTGTATTACTGCAAACAGCTTGTAGTGCGGTGTTTCAGTCCGTCAGCGTAGTTTTCAGTTACAGAATGATGTGTATCCGTTTTCTAAACACCTAATATTAATGGAATTATGGAATTAAGTATTGAATACAGCATATATAGAGAAAGTAAACAGCAATGAAAAATGACACAAAAGAAAGATAAAGAATAAAAGATGACAGACGATTCCTAATTGACTATCAAAAATCAGAAAATTAGAAATTCTTGTAAACTATTCATAATTAATTGTTTTTATTCTTACAGGAAGCTGGCGATCGAAATATTTATCATCGTTATTGTCTTGAACGTGCGGCCGTTCATTGTGCACACGTATTTACAACTGTAAGTAAAATTACTGGCTTGGAAAGTAAGTTTCTTTTGCGAAGAGAACCAGACATCATCACTCCAAATGGTCTTAATGTTATTAAATTTGCTGCACTTCATGAGTTTCAAAATCGTCATGCATTGGCTAAAGAAAAGCTGAATCAATTTATTCAAGGACATTTTTACGGGTTAGTTGATGGTCTTCATAACTGATAAATAAGCTTTGTTGATTTTTAAAGATTTTTTTTGAACCAAATCATCATATTTGTTTTTCAGACATTATGATTTTGATTTGGACAAAACATTGTATTTTTTCATTGCTGGACGTTACGAATTCCAGAATAAAGGAGCTGATATATTTATCGAGTCACTGGCTCGTCTTAATCATCATTTAAAAGTATGCTAGTATTGTTGATATTAAAGTTATTTAACTATACATATTATCCATAATGAAGATTTTTGCTTCAATCCACCATCTTTTTGTTACTTATTAGTTTATTGAATTTAGTTGCAATAATAACAATTCCAAGCGATTTATAATTGTATAACTGACGGCCTAATAGACATTTTCAACCTCTGGATGACATAGAGTTTAGATTTATTTTAAGACAAACTAAAATCCATGTATGATCATAAACGTGGCAGTTTTGTTTCCTGGACGCACTCATTGAAGATGATAATTTACATTGTCATTAAATGTTTTTAATTGTCTATCTAAAAAAAAGAAAGAGATCAGAGTATTTATCATTTTAAATGCTCGATGATAGTCAGCTTTCTGTCTTTGAATGGTGATAAAACCAATCAAAAGATATCGTGCAATACGCTTACTGGTTTTAGAAACAGGTATAACAATTACAATTTATCTTGAACAATTTGAAGGAATTTTCTCGAGCATTCACCACCAAGATTTAATTAACTTTTGAATTCCTTAGTGAATGATCGCTTTCTCGAATCGTTTGCCCGAAAACAACCTGGAATTATTTGACTAACTGTCTCCAATTCATGTTTTCATACACCTCATTATGTTTTCTACTTATCCCCAGGTCCATCTTTTATTTATGCAGTAAAAAAAGTAGTGTTATTCTTACTCATGATGTTTTTATCGAATTAGCCTATTTTTTCTACAACCATGTATTCTCAGAATGGGGATTTGCAGAGATTGTATTAATTTCAATAATTGAATTCACGAGTCAATCTGAGCTGAACCACCATTGATAAGCTGGAAGCACTGGACAGCCATTTCGTTCCAGTATAGGACTCAGTGGTCTAAAGGTTAGGCGTGCGCGCGAAGTCGAAGGTCCTGAGTTTGAGTCCTTCGTGTGGGATCGTGGATACACACTGCTGAGGAGTCCCGTACTAGAATGGAACGGCTGTCCGGTGCTTCCAAATTTTCAGTGGTGTTCTAGCTTAGATCGACTCATGAATACAACTATTAAAATCATCTATTCGCTATAGCATTTTACACAAAAACATATTGGTCCAGATCTTTGTGCGACTTTATAAGAAAAAAATATTAGGATAGCAATATGTGAACAGTTTTCTATCATTAGTCCGTTAATCATAGACCTGATACGAATGTGTATTGATCCAAGTTGCGATATAGTGAGAGAAATCAACAAGACCAGAAGGGAAAATTGGATAATGTTAGCTGCAATAGGAGCCTAAACATAAATAGAATTGTTCAGCAGGAGTCAATAAAATGATAGTAGTACGAAAAGGAAAAATCATTAAAGATAAAAGACCAACTTTAAAGAAAAAGTATGGAGACGGAAGGAAAACTATGTTCATAGTATTACGATTAATGTATTAAGTATGTGGTGAATTTTTCCATTCTTCTCTGGGATTATTTAGGCAAAAATATGTGAGTCGACATTAAGAGTACACGAGAATTTCAAACTTGACATCTGTTTGTACAATCGTCAAACTGTTAAAAATTTACTATATCTAGGACATCACATTATTACTTAAGAACTTATGATTTTTCACGAAGCTTATTTGGTTGGAAACGACCGACTATTTTAATAAACTGCAATTAGATTCATGAAACTTTTTTTCATTTTGCAAAGGTAATTTGTTTACGAGCTTTATAACTGAATATCATACTACAAGTCCTCTTAACTTCTTTCTCTTTTGTCTTAGCAAGCACAAACTGATGTCACTGTCGTAGCGTTCCTCATTTTTCCAGCTCATACGAACAGTTTTAACGTGGATTCGTTTCGTGCACAAGCTATTGTAAAACAACTACGTGAAACAGTGAATTCAATTCAAAGTGAAATGGGACATAGGTTATTTGAAGTGTGTCTTCGAGGGCTTATTCCTCAAGGATCTGATATACTTACTCAGGTATGGTTATAAATGTTCCTTCGATGTTGTGGTATATATTTTTCTTTACAGTCATTTTCTGTATGTAACCATCTAATCAACTCATATTTGTTTTTCAGGGTGATGTATTTCGTCTTAAACGTTGTATATATGCAACACAACGAAATAATTTGCCCCCTATTTGTACACACAATGTTGTTCAAGATAATATCGACCTAGTTCTGTGTAACTTACGCCGATGTCAGTTATTTAATGATCGTCATGATCGTGTTAAAGTAAACCATTTGTTATTGTATTTTTATTTTAAACTCCATTTTAATTTTCAAGATATTAAAAGTCAGTTGACTGAAAATCATCTTGAGGTGCTTTATAAATGGTACAGTTTTTTCATATACAGTTACGCCTAATGAAATACTCACAGCTCTTTCCATTTTGGTTATAATGGTTAGATGTTCTGAAAGATCAAATATGTATTCTTGAATACGTCCATGTGTATTCAGTGACAAATCAGGAACATTGAAAGCCATCATTAAATTCCTGATTATTACGTCCAGAGGAACCTGCTCAGAAATAAGCCATCCCATCGTTAACTACAGTAAACTTATATTTCTTGATACTCTAAAATTACTTAGGCTTTCCCAACTATCACATCGAATGATTACATTTTTATTTTGTTCTATATAAGGTAAACCGTTGTCATATGACTTACCTGTCGATAAGATGTTACAAAATATTAAAGAAATCATGTATCATAATTGTTTTATTTCTGAATTCTGTTTTGTATGGTGTGCATGTATATAATTTGTGTTTTGTTTTTTCATCTGATAGGTTATTTTTCATCCTGAATTCTTAAGTTCTACCAATCCACTACTACCGATGGATTATGAAGAATTTGTGCGAGGCTGTCATTTAGGTGTTTTTCCATCATATTATGAACCATGGGGTTATACACCAGGTTTGATTTTATTTGTCTGATGTCTGAATTTTACTGACAAATTTTAGTTTAACAGCTAGTTATTTAATCTTTTGATTATTCCCTATAATTTGTTGACTTTTCTTTTAAGAATTAGTATAACTAGAATTAATGAATTAGTTATTATTCTTTCTTTCATTAGAAAATGTCTACCAGCCTGATAGTGAAATAATTATGGAAAACCAATGTTGTCAGTGTCAACTGTTCTTTGTCTGAAAAGTTGCAGTATATATTTCTTGAATACAAACGTTACAATCTGTTAATGTTTTGAATTCATGTTATTGAATTGAATACAGCAAATAACATTAATGTCCTGTTTCAACCAAGCTAAAAGCTCAAATAATTATTCTGTTTCATTGGTTGTTTTCACCTTCCCATTGATGTTTAAGATTGGAATTGATCAGTCTTTTTTGGCATATGTTTGTCCCTTACGGATTGCATCGATATTGCTATTAAGTTACAAGTATAGTAGTTTGAATTGAATGGTGATTAACAGTGGAATTCAAGAAGCATGTTTCATCCTTTTTAGAACACATGGTTTGTTCAATGAGCTGTAGTGACGAAAGTCTCATTCGTTATTATGATACTTAAAAATGACATGATTTGGTGCATTTTTATCTAGTAATTATTCAATATTCTTGTATATTGTTTTTTTTTCATTTAAGCTGAATGCACCGTAATGGGTATTCCATCAGTAACAACAAACCTTTCTGGATTTGGCTGTTTCATAGAAGAGCATGTAGAAGATCCCAAATCGTATGGAATATACATTGTTGATCGTCGTTTTCAAAGCTGTGAAGACAGTGTTCAACAGTTAACCAAGGTATTTCTATACGATCAAGACTATCAAAACTGGAATTAACCTACACCTGCAGTTGATTATATTTCACTCGTTCATAATTCCTTTTTGAACTCATGATCACGTATAAGATTCAGCCTTTGGCGACTCATTTGACAAATATGACACAATTTAAAGTAGAGAATATTTCTGTATCTTTATGTATCTTATAGAATAAGACGACAGGATAATGATTGAGTGCTGTGCATTCAATTATAGGTAATTTTCTGTTGATATATCAAGATTAAACCAAAAATATATTCGATACAAATCATTTCTGCAAATAGTAATATTTAAGTAAAAATATCACTTTCAGAGGTGCTCAGAGTTATCCAGTACTGGTTAACTTTTCATAATTGTCTATCCCAAGTCAACCTATGATGTGAGAACTTCAAATTTAACAATCTACATAGAACTCTGTAATAACTTTCAGGGTTGTTTGAACTCATCTTACTTTGAAAAAAAAATATTAAAGTCAAATATCATATTCTGTTGAGTGTTTTTTTGACTATTTGGCTTTTCAAACTGCGTCTTTTCAAGCGTCTAAGACAAACAACTGTAGTCATGTTGCTGTGTCTTCAATCATCATTCGTGATAATTATATGATTTCCTAATGGGCAGCATATATAGAAAATTTCTTCAATTTAAAATGGATAGCTTAGTTTTAAAAAGGAGTTGGCTGTTGTCCATCAGGTCGCCGGGTTGTTTTTTTATTGTGAAGTATATGAATATAAACATATATAATAAGTATAATTTTTTCTTCAAATCTTTTTTTTCATTTGATACCTTATTTCTAATTTCTCTGTAGTATTTGGTTGAGTTCTGTCAATATTCTCGCCGTCAACGTATTGTTTTAAGAAATCGTACCGAGCGATTAAGTGAACTGTTGGATTGGAAAAATCTTTCCTGTGTAAGTGTAAAAGTTCTTGAATGTTGTATTTAAGTCAAAGGATATTTAAAATTATTATTTTAAAGTACACATCTACAGTAACTTGATTATTACGGATTGTTTGGTTTCTTGATGCTTAGTTTGATTTATGAATTTTAGGCCCGAAGTGTATTTCGATTGATCGAGTAGTTAACCTTCATATAATCTGATGACTAGACGATATTTTCATACATGCTGAACCATTTCTCATCAAAATGTGCTACACCGATTGGTGTAAGAATGATTCCGTTTTAAGGGTTTGCGAATAATAACTTTGTAATCATAAACAGATATTTGAGGAATATAATATTTGACTAAAATTTGGAAGACTTGTGTTTCTTAAATCTATGAGCTCAAACTCTACCTTAATAGATAATATAATTCATTGTTTGCCACCATGCTATAGATACATTCACTCTCTAATACTAATATTTGAATCTCAAAAGTCATCTTCTAGTTCAAATTGTTGAAAGAAGTATAGTCAGTCCTCCAAGTTAAAACATTTCGAATAAACTGATCTAAAATTAATTTAACTAAAGAAACCTACTGTGTCACTGAAGAAGAAGTAAGAACATTTCAATATAAAGAAGTTTCTTTTTGACTGTTTCATTTACTTAATCTTTTCAATTATATTTCTCGTTAAGTTATTTACTTAAAATTTGATATTATAGTAAAATCAAGAGGTATTCTTCTGATTTCTAAACAAAACGATCAACAATAATCAAAAGTTTTAAATATCAACTATAATAGTTTGTAATTTAATAAAATATTGTTGTAATAGATTGTCTTACGTAACAGCTGATCGGGATTTTTTTTATTGAGCTCTATACTTTAGCCAAATTCGTGGTTAGAAATCAATAGTATATCGGATTTATTAAATTTTAATATGATATATTTCTTTGAACATTTTAATGTGTCACTAATTGTTGGTTTATATGAATTTATGATTAATTAATTATACCGATTAATTTCATTTCATTTCTGATTTATTTATTTATTTGAACACATAAATATTGGTACAAAGGGCACCAAATACATATGCGCCACACAAGTCACTTAATTTGTGTGTGGGCTGTAATACTGCCCGGACGTCCAGACCGAAGCAGGTGATTTTCTTAGGAGGCCACGCTCGGAGCCTTCGACCTAAAGATCTGATCCACAAGGCAGTGGAGCAATGTAAGAAGATGCAATCCAATGGTAGCCGGTGACCAACAGTTGGTTCATACGCCATTTGTTCCTTTCAGGATCCTGAAGCCCATGTGCACCATTGGTTTGGAATCAGGGTTTACTAACTCCTTTAGGTGGATCCTCCATATCCACCAATCCGGGTAAAGAGCCGGACATTCGCTTTTCATCCTCTCAATTTCGTAAACAACATCGCCACGAGAAGGTAGTGAGTAGGACTTTCTTGACCAATTCTAGACGCCATTCCATAATATTTTTGAACCTTTGAACGTAACACGACTGGTCATAAAGAAGACAGGATAGAATTAATTTTATTATTTTCCGATGTAATATATAGTTTTTATCAATGAATTTTTTTTAGTGTTAATAAACTATACATCCATATCATGGTTATTTCTTTTTGGATATAAAGATATGGATTTTTGTGCCCGTGTTTGGGTTGTTCTTTTTTAATTCATCAACGTGATGTTGACTTTGAAAACAGAAGTTTTATTATGCTTAGCATAATAAATCTATGGATCACTCTTATCGTTTGAATGTCATTAACAAAGTTTGTGTCCTATAAAGTATTGCCACTTATGAAGTGTTATAATTCATATACATTGTTAATTATTAGTACGTTTCATATATATCTTTTTTTATCTAGTACTATCAACGTGCCAGATTAATGGCTTTAAAGAGATTCTCTCCAGAACTATTCACATCTAACAATAATGATGATACTTTATCGACTCATAGTTTTCATCTTAGTCGACCATATTCAGCACCTGTATCTCCATCATTATCAGGACAATCAACACCGTTGCGAAGTGCCGGTGCAAATAGTTCAAATCGTAGCAGTCCTACATCACATTTAGATGATGATGAAGTTGATGATGACACAGAACGATTAGAACTAGGTCTTGGTGCAGTAGAAATCAATGATCCTGTACCTGGTTGAAGTACGAAAGCAAAAAAAAATTCTATCAATATTGAAGTATAAAATTAGAATGTGACTAGTTTATTTTCTTTCTTTATTTCTTCTCTTTTCATTATTTACCATTTATTTTATTTCTTTTTGTTCATTTGTAATTCATTTAGATCTTTGTTTTAATGTGCATATTTTATCAATCTTATAATATTGTTATCATCCTCTATTGATAATAGTTTACACTGTACTAATTTTCTACACTTCATCAATGAATATCATTTGGACATTTTGTAAAGTCAGAATTTCTGATCTCATTTCACATGTATCAATAAGATTTAGAATGATAGAAAATATGAATTTCATTCATTTTACAATGTTTATTCAACTTTTAATTAGCTGAAAGTGTTATGAGTAGTAATTTTAGTAGGGGAAAGTAATTAACTGTTTTATATGAATTAGTTTATAATACTACATTGACTAATTAACAAGCATAATTAGATGAGGAATTTTACAGTTAGTCTTTAAAGAAATAGTGATTTCTGAATACGAAAAGATTTATAATAACAATTATAACACACGACAAGCCAGTATATTAGAAATGAAGGTAAACGCGAAACGTTAGTTGTATTCTAAGCTGAAGCTAATGAGATCGTATAACAAATTTGAAATATGGATGTCAGAGTAAAGTTAGAAATACGTTTATTCTTTATGTAAAGTCGACGTTGGAATAGCTTGATAGCATGTTATGCCAATTGTAGAAAACTGGACGTTTTCTATTTGTTTTGTACTTTACTCAGGATTCGTATATTGTAAATTGAACAAAAACCTTGATCTTTCAATAATAAACATTATATATATCTCAAATAATCTTTCGTACAAGCCATTCTAGTAGTTCTATCATCTTTAATATCTAAGATTTCATCATAAAGCTTAATGTTCGAATAAGAAATGTTCAGGGTCTTACGAAGATTCAGAATCCAGATTTTTTGTGAAGCATTGGCTAAGAAGTCGAGGCGTTCAATTTTGAACCACTAGGTCACAGGTTCGATTCTCGTTCCACTTACTTTGGACCGAGTTGTATCATTAGCCTGTGATGAATAAAGCGATTTCTTTCTCTTTATTTATATTGCTCAGAAGTACATATCACTTGCTAACTATCCTGATCCCATCAATCATAATTTAATTTTCAATGGGAACCTCAGTACAATTTGTCAAAGTTCTCGCTTGATTACTGATTGAACCCATCGTTTTACATCCGGAGAATTTTGTAGATAGAACAACCTGATTCTTCAAATTATGCTCTCAAACTATTATTATTATTATTATCGAAAAAAGATTATCAGTTCAAATGTTCATTTGTTTTAATAACATGATCTAGATAACATTATAATCTGTCAATTTATCAATACTTGCAAAAAGACAAATCATGTTAGAAATGAGTATTTTTTTAAATCTGGTAAACTCTATGTTGACAAAGATCACTCATTTTCGCTGATTTAATTTAATATGACACTATGAGCTCACTGATCGTATTAATAGTAAAATTCTAAGAAGTTGCAAGCATGTGATGAACTATAAATAACAAACGACTTAATGCCTTTGTGATTGTTTATTTAAAGGTCATCTATTATATATTTAATTCATAAAAAACATCCGATGAAGTTGGCCATTAATAAATATGTTATGCACTCAGAAGAACTATAGTTTTTTAGAGTTTTAAAGTAGTGAAAATAAGGAAAATTACAGTCCAAGTAATAATGTTAACCAGATTTCATTACTCTAACGAAAACATCTCAGTGGTTTTTATGGGAATACTGTAATAAGATCTCGTTTATTATAAGTTCTGGCTGCATCTAATAATGTTCCAAGTCACTAGTCTGCATAATATATATCATATCCAAAGAGCGGTGATGTGTGAGCCATTAATTACACCTGTCTTTGGCGTCACAAAAAGCGTATCTCCACTTTTCACTTAATGTCTTCTTTGAATATTTCCTTATTATTTACAGACTATCACTAGATTTTCAGAGAAGAGAATAAGCTATGGTGGAATTGATACAAGTGATGTCGAGGCAGCTGAAACCCATGTTCAATGTTATTATGTCGAATTTCTTTTTTGCTTATTCACCTTATTTTGGTCACAGACCATTTTTATTATAACTTGTTAGTTTGGTAAAGTTTTAATAAATAAGAACTTTCGTATAAATTTTATCAAATAGTTTCACAATATTTGGGCGCCGAGTTGATGTGAGACATTAAAGAGGAAGAATGTATTTGTAAAATCTCAGCGAATGAATTTGAAGTAAATCCAACGTTTCGCCTGGCGATCTTGTCCAGGATTTATTTCAAGATAATCTCATGAGAATAAATATAATTAGATAGTTTCGAGAGCAGTTTAATCGAAAGAATAACGTTTTGATGTCTTTATCCACGTTATATAGATATCGGTTTTTATTATCTTTGTCGCAAAATAATTCTAACTTATTGGTTTCACTTTGAGCTAATTGTGTTATTCTTCATAGTCAAATGTCCATCATCTGCTTTCTGAAAGAAAAAAGAAATTGATGATTACCAATCTCTTGGTGGTTTTGTCCTCTCTAATCTAGACAATTTCACTGAGCTTCATTATTATCCTGAATAAAATCTCTAGTGCCTAATTCATTCAACAGCCTTCTCATCAAGTTATTCTGTTACATAATTGGATAGTATACTAAAGAAAATGACTTCATTCTGTCAAATTATAGTAAATAGAAATACATGCAGGTAAGCAAGAAAACTTGAAAGTTTAGTCTCAAAATTAGAAGGAAAGAAATTTTGAAGAAAAAACGACAGAAATGACTCATGTACAAGCGTATCTCTTTATTCAAGTTTAATTATATGGATGAAATGGTGTATTTTATATTCACTTGGTGTTGTTTTACTTGTATCTTCCCGGGGTGAACATCAAATCTAGGATGCAGGTACATCTAGCTGGTGAGTCCCAAATAGGACGAAACATGCGTCCTGGATTCCACTGCTAGTCACTATCCATCATTGCATAAAAAATGTATTTTATAATGTTATTTATCTCACTGTTAAATATCAAACAATAATTTGTTTTAAAAATCTATGATTCCTAAATTCATAACATATCTGTTATTGGCAGATGAAGGTTAAGTGAACAACAAATAGATTGGTATATTCATACAATGAGTTCTTTATTGAACGTAAAAAGATTTTGGTTACACATTGACTATTAACTATAAACTGATGACCATTTTGTAATCTCAAACAAATTAGTTATATGATTAAATTAATTCCGTAGGATTTTAGCATTTTAAAGGAAGTCTCATGAATTAGATAACATGAAAGGTATACACCAAAACATGAATATTCCATGTTTCCCATATACATAATTTAAATAAGCTTAACTCTGTGCTGTGGGATGGTATAAAACAAGTTTCTAATTTTTCTTAGGTGATTAGTTAGTTTCTAGCTAATTCTATTCTAATTCGTTTATTTTACATATATCATCAATGAACTACATTAAACAATCTAAATTTTTATGTCTGTACTTGTTTACTGTACAAATTGATTAAAGTGATTGCTGATAATGGTACTAATTACATAGTTGTTTGACTGACTTTTTTTTTCAGTCTTTATCAACTTTTAAATTGTATAAAATTGAATAATGAAAATATCATACACTAACCGGTAGATAATTAGGTATTATTAATATACATAAATGAACTACATTAGGTAATATCAAAATCGTGCTGTAATTATGGTAAACTTATTCGACTTTTGTATTGAAAACTGATTATTGGTGACCTAGGTTAGTGTATATATAAAGTTCAAAAATGAACATTGAAATTGCAGAACATAATTTATAATATAAATAGTTGTCAGACCATAAAGGTTAAATACATTACAGCACATAGTTATTTATCTGATCAGTTGGGTAGCAAATGGTAAATAGTTGTATGAATGATGGTTTTTATTAGTTGTATATAACAGTTTTACCGTGAAAATGACAAACTGAATCCTTACAGAGTAATGTTCCGAAGTAATAAAATTTTGTCAAATTATAAGTGCTTATGGGACTTAAGCTATTGACTTTGATTAATCAATAGTTGCAGATTAAATGATGGTCGAAAATACTGAACAATCGATTGCGTGGTCACGATCAAATGTACTACTTTTCTCAATTCCCTTACTATTATGGTAATGACGTAACACACATGATTAGAAGTTATATATTTTCTGTTAACTTTTCATGAAATATTATGTACTTACTCACTTTACTTCTGCCTGTTACTCTCCTCGTGGAGGAGCATAGGCCGACCACCAGCATTCTTCATCCAACTCTGTCCTGAGCAATCTTTTCCAGTCCTTTTCAGTTCCTATTCATCATTTTCATGTATGCTTCCAATTCCCGACGTAGTGTGTTCTTTGGTCTTCCTCTTTTCCGTTTCCCTTCAGGATTTCAAGTTAATACAGCTTGGTGATTTCCACAATGTATATCCTATTCACCTCCTCTTCACCTGGAACCTGTTTTTTTCTCTAACACAGTAGGCTATTGTTAATGCTATCCGGTCAGCAAATATTCAGTATCTTGTGGAGACAATTGTTTGTAAATACATTTTCTTATAGCAACTCTCCTACAATCAATATCGATTGTGATTAATTTTTGTTATGCCATTTTATTGACTTACTTAACGGACAATGTTATTTGGACAGTAACAATTCGTCTACTTGTTTGTATTATAGTGATCACTAACTTGTCTGTATAAACGTGTACGCTTGATCACATAACAGTCTACGCATACCTCTCTCTAGCTTAAATGTTGATACCTTGAATATCGGTCAATGAATCATTCTCTTCTCCACGTATATCTGTACTCGAGGCCTATTGTTAGCTTTTGCCTTTCCTATCTGTGCATCGATTCGATTTGACTATAAATTTGCCCTTGCATTTGCTCGCATACAAACATTCGCTCCTCTGTTTCAAATCCTCTCGGTGTGCTTGCAGCTTTGTTATCCATGCTATCCGCTAATAAACTGTAGTCACCGCTGCTTATTGCCTTCTGATTTCAAACACCGTTGGTATATATATTATCGTTTATCATGCGTTTTTGGTAAGGGTTGTAGTATTCCTCCAAGTTTCAGATGCTTACATCAGAACTGTATTGATATTCGTGTTGAAGATTCTGACTTTGGTATTGATTGAAAGTTGTTTTGAGTTGCATATGTTCAACTGTGGGAATGCTGTCCTTGCTTTGCTAACTCTCACATTTACGCCTGCATCGTATTCTTAACGTTCATCGATGATGCCACCCAGATATGTGAAACTTCCCACATCTTACAGAGTTTCTCCAACAAATGCGACTA